AGACCCCCCCCCCCGTCTAGGTAGGGTTAACGTTGACTGTTGGCTCCTCTAGAATCGACAGGCGGAGTCCCTTGGAACTAACCTTCTTCCTTAGGGAAATACCAAACGCGCAAGTTAACCACTTTATCAGGAATCCCAAGAACACCAGACAAAGGGTTGGGATTAGGATCGATTTCTCCAAACCGATGACATAGCCTAGTCTAATTAGGATTGAAGTCATTATGAATACTATCACTTCTGCGCGCCGGAAGTTATCCCGAGTGGCACACACCGCGGCCTGGCCTTCACCTCCCGCTACTCTGAGCTGACCGGCATGCCGGTCATCTATGTATTGGTTAGCGGGTACCCCTAACGAGCGTATGTAACCCGTTGCTGCTAGTCCTAAGGTGTTATAGATGAAAGCTGAGACCTTAAATCCAAACGGCAGGCTATTACAGAAAAACCGGTATCGAGAACGTACGAGGCGCCGGGTGAATTAAGACATAGGATCATATCCGGACTTGTTGTCGCACTTCGTTTGAAATGTGTTGAGCAACACATACCTAGTTACATCTACTAACTTATCTTAGGTAAATGGGGAGTCCTTAATAAAAGAGGTTGAGAAAACGCTGATCAGACACGGTTTTGTGTGCCACCAAAAATGTTTTCATTTAGCCATTAAAAACAAGGTGGGCATCTTCATCCACCTTTTCACATCTTTTTACAATGTTACCTCTAGCCATAAAAAACGAGTCGGGCATGCGGCACCTTCATCCACCTTTTCACACCTTTTTATATACAATTTTTCATTTAGCCATTAAAACAAGGTGGACATCGTCATCCACTTTTTCACATCTTTTTACAATGTTACCTCTACCCATAAAGAAAGAGTCGGGCATGCGGCACCTTCATCCACCTTTTCACACCTTTTTATATGCAATGTTTTCATTTAGCCATTAAAAACAAGGTGGACATCGTCATCCACCTTTTCACATCTTTTTACAAACAATGTTTACCTCTAGCCATAAACAAATAAGTCGGGCACATTCATCCACCTTTTCACACCTTTTTATATACAATGTTTTCATTTAGCCATTAAAAACAAGGTGGACATCTTCATCCACCTTTTCACATCTTTTTACAATGTTACCTCTAGCCATAAAAAAACGAATCGGGCATGCGGCACCTTCATCTACCTTTTCACACCTTTTTATATACAATGTTTTCATTTAGCCATTAAAAACAAGGTGGACATCGTCATCCACCTTTTCACATCTTTTTACAAACAATGTTTACCTCTAGCCATAAACAAATAAGTCGGGCACATTCATCCACCTTTTCACATCTTTTTATATATAATGTTTTGTTTTCATTTAGCCATTCAAAACGAGTCGGGTTCCTTCATCGACCTTTTCACATCTTTTTATATACAATGTTTTCACTTGGCCACTAAAAATCAGTCGGGCACCTTCATCCATCTTTTACATTCTTTTTATATACAACGTTTACAATTGGCCATTAAAAAACGAGGTGAGCATCTTCAACCTTTTACTACCGTGGCCGACAAGAACAAAATTTTACACCGCAACTTCTGGTGTTTTACACCGCAACTTTTGGTGTTTTACACTGCAACTTTTGGTGTTTTACACTGCAACTTTTGCTGTGTTTTACACTGCAACTTTTGCTGTTTTACACTGCAACTTTTGCTGTGTTTTACACTGCAACTTTTGCTGTGTTTTACACTGCAACTTTTGCTGTGTGGAAAACTTACACCCCTCCCCTTTTATAATAGACGGTCCCCCTGTCAGGTCAAAGGTGACAACGATGGCATGCAAACTACCTCGACTGAGTTATCCTTTTCGTGCATAAGTTTTTTAGAGGAAAAGCTTGGCTACGTTGTGACGTTAGTTTTTTTCTAAAGGTTTTTCTAGCTTTGGCCTATAGATCGGGATAAATTTAAAAATGTTTCGACCAGGTCCAGTGATTACAAATTATGTTGCTTTTTGCTGCCATGCGTCACAACAAATTTGTCAAGGACGTCAGATATCCAGCTCCAGACATCAACAGCAATGACATAAATTTTTCTGCAGGTTAGTCCAAAATAATTCTGTTGACTTCGACGCGGTAAGAATTATAGCAGGGTGCACTTCACAAATACGAAAATCGAATATGTTTCAAAAGAAGGTACAAACTACAAGATATCTAGAAACGAACAAATCCTGTCGGCGTATCTGCTCGTAACGTACACTTTGAAATCGCCTCCTACGGACGTGACCTGAACTGCAGCCGGCTCACCCGGAAAGCCAGTTGCGCAATACGGCGCATTTATACACGAACTGCAAAACCTTCACAATTCAAATCACACAGTCTCAAACCCGATACATTCCTACACCACACAGCACAATTTACATCTGGCTGACGCTCTTATCAGTCTTTCTACCCAGCCTTCAAGAATATTCGATGCACTACTTTCTTTACCCGCGTCATCGTCCCCGGGGGTCGCTCATTAATACTGTGACCTGCTACCTTGATGTCTCACACTCAGTCACAGCACGACACTGTGACTCTCAGGCCGCCGCCATCTTTGTCACCTTTGACCTGACAGGGGGACTGTCCACTATAAAAGGGGAGGGGTGTAAGTTTTCCACACAGCAAAAGTTGCAGTATAAAACACAGCAAAAGTTGCAGTGTAAAACACCAAAAGTTGCAGTGTAAAACACAGCAAAAGCTGCAGTGTAAAACACAGCAAAAGTTGCAGTGTAAAACACAGCAAAAGTTGCAGTGTAAAACACAGAAAAAGTTGCAGTGTAAAACACCCAAAGTTGCAGTGTAAAACACCAAAAGTTGCGGTGTAAAACACCAAAAGTTGCGGTGTAAAATTTTGTACTTGTCGGCCACGGTATTTTACACTTCTTTTTGCATACCTATGGCCACAACATTATGCAGGAACCCCAACTAGCTTACTTTGCAACACCCTGCACAGCAAAAAAATGCAACAACAAAGCGTCAACGATATCCGATTACGAAACACGAGAGGCTAGCGTCCGGAAAAACTTCCTTACGGAAAAAACTGTACCGGCAAGCACCGAAAGGAAACCAACAACTGCGAAACGTGTGTTGTGTGTGTGTGTGTGTGTGTGTGTGTGTGTGTGTGTGTGTGTGTGTGTGTGTGTGTCTTTTTTCATATATATATATATTGTTTTTCTTTTTCTCAGGTCGAAGGTACTTGGCGATGGACCGATAGAACACGCCTCGACTATGATAGCTGGTATCCTGGAGAGCCAAACAATGGTGGGAACCAAGACTGTGGAGCGCTTCGTAAGGATTGGGGCTATGTGTATTGGGACGATCAGCAGTGTGATCGTGTGAAATTCTTCATCTGCCAGACAGGTACATCATTTTTACTTATCCCTTTTAATTCTTGTGCTTATGTTCATCTACCATGGCATTATTCCCCTAGTCTTCATCAGTAGTTCTCAAAAGCACTATATGTTTACCACACGAGTCGTGTGAAGCATAGTCAATGTTCTATTCATTGAAGTACATACTGTTGGTACAAGAACTTAGTGTAAAACGTACATTTTGCACTGGCTGACCTGTGTATGCAAAACTTATCACCCAGCTAATATATTGTTACGACTTACCAAAAATCCCACTGTATTGTTAAAGCAAAGTCTATTAATTCTGCGTCGTACTTAGGTAATAATAACAATACATAACACGACACCATATTAAGTGACATTGTTTGATTTTTATCCAACTTAGACATCAACGAATGCTCCAGTAATAATGGAGGTTGTGACCACAACTGTTATAACACCGATGGGAGCTACCGATGTACCTGCCGGGCTGGATATCAGCAATCTGGGTTAACAGATTGCGTCGGTAAGCAATTTTGGCGGACCTAAATTTTCAATGCTGTATTTTTCATTCATTTTTACACTTTTTTTCTAATTTCCTCTCCATGTTTTCGTGAATTTGTATAAGTCAACAGCAAATGTCCGTATCAAATGAGGTGGCATGGTTATTTTGTGTTTCCGGTTGTTGGATTCGAAGTATTTGAGTTCAAATTTCCAACAAGCCCCAATCTTAATCTTTTTTTCCTACACTTGTATCCTCACTTACCTCGGTTAGAAATAACTACATAATGGACAGGACGTAAATCAGGAGGTACCGTGTTTGAGGAGAGTCATATTCTCCTTAAGATTATACCGAAATTGAAGTTTTAATTTTTGCACAATCGACATTTAGATCATGATACTGTTTTATATAATCATTGCTTGGACTCAGCTTTGATACCATGCAGATATATTGAAGTAATGTAAATATGTAATGTACATGTACATGTGTTGGTAAGGGCGTTGCGCCTGGCCTTAATATGCAAGGTAATCACGTCCATGGAAAATTGAAGTACTGTTTTTGGGGTGTCTGTGCGTGTGTTTCCACACATTTGCAGTCAGAATAACTTCCTAACGCCTTAATGGATAGTGATGAGGTTTGGTAAGTTGGTAGGTTATAGAAATACAAAGGTCAAGATTAACTTTGGGCCTCCTTTGCACTGCAGGAGAACCGGTTTTTGTGTCTTTTGTCCTGAACACGCAGTGGTCTTGGAATTTTGGTGACAGTTTTTTCCATCAATTATAAGTGGCGTGGGTGTTGTCCCCGAGCAAATTGTTCTAGAACTGCAGGGAGTCCAGGAAAAAATTTTCATAATTTTCGGTATCTAGATTATTATAAGTTATAGATAGTTGTAAGAATTAAATGAAAATTATGCAAATGACGTAATTTGCATAATTTAAGAGATAATTCTGTCATCACATTTTACTCAATTTGCATAATCAATTAGGACATGTTGAAATGGAATATTGCCAAAGGATAGGAAATTTCTCACGCAAAATATTATAAAGTGAGTTTATAAAATCATGAATAAAACTAGATCGTATTAGTTACGACCTTATATCCATAATCAATACAAACGATCAAAAACATTTACATAAAAAGTCTCTTTTATGGACATGTCTAAGACGCATTTCTCTTAGCCGACAAGACCAACTCCAAATGTATAGCAATTACTCTAGGGTAACATCATCGCAATGGCTGCATTTTACAATAATACGCTGTTGGTGAGGAATGTAAAATTGTAATTTATGCATATGCGATGGCTAATAATAACCGACATAAATCGCAAGGTTAGATAAAATATTTTTCTGCATGTTAGATATCAACGAGTGTTCCAGCTCGCCTTGCCGTAACGGCGGAACCTGCCGAAACCTCATCAACTCGTACCGCTGCGACTGTCGACCTGGATGGACCGGCGTCAACTGTCAGACAGGTAAGTTCTTAAAACTGAAAATGGCCAAAATTGCAATATGAGACCATCGTGTTTAGTCAATCAACAGAATTGTTTATAAACATTGTTACATTAAGAAGTTTTGGCAATGGTATGAGAGAACGAGAATGGTAAACTGTGTAATACAAGAGGGCAATGTTTTATCCATCTTGATTGAATCTATACCTCAACGATCGTAATAATATGTTATTTTAATATCTGCATGTTAGATATCAACGAGTGTTCCAGCTCACCTTGCCGTAACGGCGGAACCTGCCGAAACCTCATCAACTCGTACCGCTGCGACTGTCGACCTGGATGGACCGGCGTCAACTGTCAGACAGGTCCGTCTTTTAAAACTAGTAATGGCCACAAAATGAAACCATTGTGTCTTTCAAAATACACAAATAGTCTGAAAGCACGGTATCCTAAAGCAGTGCTGGCACGAGAACGGCACAATGTGTAATGTAAAAGCAAAATATCTTATCCACGTTGACCCAATATATAGCTCAAAGTTTGATTGATAAAATGTTCTTTTCTGCATGTTAGATGTCGACGAATGTTCCAGCTCGCCTTGCCGTAACGGTGGAACCTGCCAAAATCTCTTCAACGCCTACCGCTGTGACTGTAAGCCTGGATGGAGCGGCGTCAACTGTCAGTCAGGTCCGTTTTTTAAACAAGTGATGGCCACAAAATGTGTTTGTTCAAAATACACAAAAGTATAGTCTAGAAATATGGTCTGCTTAAACAGGTTTGACACGAAAATGGTAGTGAGATAAGATAAGAGAACAGTATTTTTCATTGAACACTAATTGATCTTGTTCTTCATATCTTTCATGGCGTCACTAGCAAAGGCTTAGACTCGAAACTATAATTCTTTATGTCAGTTTAACTTACTCGATCCGTAATCTTTTAGATATAAACGAGTGTGACGAAGCCTTACATGACTGTGAACAGACGTGTCTCAACACTGCTGGTGGATTCACCTGTGGCTGTGACAGCGGATTTCTTCTCAACCCCGATGGAAAGACCTGCTCAGGTTATGGTTTATAAACTATACATTCTTTCTTATATATATAGTTTACAGTTTATATATGCAGTATGCAGTTATTTTTCCAGTCACACTCAATACTGTATTACGGGTGACGGACCGTCTGTAAATCTGTGGCCAACTCTTTCAGGCTGTTCCGTACAATTAAAAAAAAAGAGTAAAGGGATTCTTGTCTACTCCAAATTGACTATTAAAAAAAGGAAAGAATACACATGTTCATTTTCTACAACAATGTTCCTTAGACGATCTAGGCATAATACGAGTATTTTCGACTTCTCGTTCGGAATACTGAAGAAGAATGGGTGAAATATGCTGTACTTGCTGCCGAGAAAAATGGTTCCAGTTGTATATGTCTTTCAGGTGTTAAAATATACAAACTGCACACTCACTATATACATATATATCCCTGGTAATGTAAAATATCTTTGTTATTTTCTTTTACTTTACATTGTGCGTATTTGGAAGACCAAACTTTTTTTAAAGGTAATTGAATCTCGTTACGTGATAACTCATCAGGAGTGCTCACAAAGCATAATGAACATTTGTATAGTAATGTTGAGTATAATAATTATAGGACTATCAAATGGGGGATGGTGTACTTTAAAAAATAACATATAAAACGTTATCTGATTAAATAATACATTTGTGAATAGCATTGTAAAGTACATTTTCAACCCGCTGGTCATTAGATATAAACGAGTGTGACGAAGCACAACATGGCTGTGAACAGACGTGTGTGAACATTGTTGGCAGCTTCAACTGTGGCTGTGGCAGTGGCTTTGTACTTAACGCCGATGGAAATACCTGCTCTGGTAATTTACTATTTTACTTTTTTATAGTACAGGACAATTTATCTTTAACCCTTTTCACATGTAACCAACCAACCAACCAAGCACACCAAGAATATATTACTTGAGTTCGTGAATGCATGCTTGCTCACACATTTTTGTATTTATACATTAATAGTAAGGTCATTGTTGTTGATGAAATTATTGTTAATGCTTTTGTTTTTCTTGTGCGTTAGTAAATGCAGTAAATTGAATTCTTTTTAGGGCTGAATGTGTAATGTAAAATCAAATACAGGTTGATTTTTGTTGACAATTTTCCACCAGATGCAGGTTAGCGCAAATCGTGTTTAAATTGATAAAATTTGTAAGAAACTTGTTGTGATCTTTTCTTGCACTGTTTTGCGTTTTTGAGTACATTCTTGGTGAAGAGAGCACTATATGTTGGTTTGTACAGTTAGTGTCTTTGTGTCTGGGGTTGTTGAATTCTCTTAAAAGCCAAGTTTCAATCGTGTATAAACAATTAAAAATAGCCTTAATAGTAGCCTTTTTCGTACATTAACATTGAGCATTCGGTTGGTATTGTGACCTAGGTCAGCCTCTACTTAGGTGAAGTTTAATCATATTCTGGTGTGCTTCGCCTAGGGTGATTATCTCCTCCAATTGCATTGGAAGTTCTAACAGCCCACCACGCCTACAAGATATTATAGAGGAATCACTTTTTTTATCCAGATGTAAACGAATGTGATCAAGACCTTCATGGCTGTCAACAAATTTGTATGAACACCTACGGTGGGTTCGCATGTGGATGTAACGACGGTTTCTCTCTCAACGACGACGGAATGTCGTGTTCGGGTAGGCTTTATTTTTATTTTAATTCCTGAGGGTAGTTTGATGTATAAAATTAAGATTTCCCAAATCACTATTTGATAGAAATTTCAATGATCATCTAGGATAAAAGACAACGCTAACTTTTAACGCTATATGCATAACAACACAAGCATTCTTTTTTTCTTTTTTTAAACAATAGATACTGACGACTGTGTCTCTGGAGCCTGTGATAACGGCGGCACATGTGTTGATGGGAATAGGACTTTCTCCTGTGTGTGCGTGCCTGGATTCAAGGGAGAAAGATGCCAAACAGGTAATTACAAGTTTGGTAAATTTCACTAACGTGTAATAAAATATCCATTGGCGTTTAGACCTCCCAAAAGGTATGCTCATAGAGCGCACAGAATCGCTGTGCCTTTAACAGATAATGATATACGGTTTATATATGTGTGTCTTTTTTAAACAAATGTTAAGGTGGACTTTATGCCAGGAAAAGCAACTACCTATAAGATGCGCTTGATTCTCGTTATAAATTTAATTTTTCACCATTGTGTCAGTGTCAGATTATCAGTGAATGTAACAAATAAGCCTGACCGTATAATTCTCTAGTGGCTACTAGCCTTGCAAAGTACAAATCACTCGAAAAAGTTACATTTTTGATAACCGTTATTATTTTCCATGTAGCTCCATGCAGCGAGGATTACGACCCTCCCCTGAACGGTGGCAAAGCCTGTTCAGTAACAGATGATGCGACAGGATCCATGTTCTGTACTGTGTACTGTCGGGACGACAAGGAGTTCGCCGTAGAACCTGCCCAGCTGTACACTTGCCGGGCCGACGGGGGCTGGTTTGCTGACTCTGATCCAGTGGTGGGTCAGAGTCGCCCTTGGCCGGACTGCACAGGTGTGGTTTCAATGTTATGACTACCCATATTTAGTGATTCGTAAAAGATTTCGATAATTTTTTCCACCAAGTAAAGTTACCATAATTTCCTAACTACTTTTTCAAAATGTCGGATGAATACATTTTTCTTTAGGCATAAAATATATCATTGACTGTATTGGATAGAAGAGTAACACGCAGTACATTGTGTTGCTTTTATATTACCACAGGGAGGCACCGGCCAGGACGCCCCCACATGATAGGGGAGGTTCACTACTTCTCTGGAATTGACTGTTCCATCAACATGAATGAAATCATCTCCAACTTCCAACATCTCTTTAGTCAGCTGCCGTCCTCGCAACCAGGTGGAGCAATCACAACCGAGCTTCAGAACGTTGATGTGGAATGCGGAGGAGCATCAAAACAAATCCCTGCAATCACGTGGGGTAACTCCGTATCAAAATCTGCAAGTGGCTTCACGGTAAGGTTCAGGGTAGCTGCCGTTACCTCTCTGGCACCAGAAGATGTCACCCAGACTGAGCAAACTAACCTCATATACGCCCTTGACGATATCTACTTTGAGATCGAAGACAAGGTCGCAAACCAGCAGTTCGACTTGAACATCAACGGACAACAAGCCTCTGTCGACACAGTGAACATCGGGTTTGCGGAGTTTGACCTTAACTGCACCCAGGGACAACTGAGTTTTCAAGACACTTTTGAGGCGTATTGTCGTGAGTTATACTTTGTACTATTTTGATGGTTATTAAGTCTTTATACCTTAAACAAACATAATAATGACACACCCAAGCGACAATAGGCAAGGTCCGATGTTTAGGCTAGGAACAGGGTTAAATAATTGTTATAAAAAAAAACAAGGCTGGCAAAAAGATTTAATTTTAAAATTTTGAGGTCATAAGTCATTGTTAAACAACAAATTGGGGGGGGGGGGTATGACTTAACAACAAGATAGATATTCTATTCTTGCCATCAACAGTATTACCTGCACTTGTAAATGTGTAAATACCTCAATAAACTAGAAATTCTAGCAAAACGGCTAGCTGTATTATCATGGGCAGCTACTGTACTGAGTTGGATTGGATGCAACGGAACATGTAGGTGACAACATTTGTTATCAAACGTGAACCACTGTGCCTCAAGTTTGCTGGATTTCTAATGGTCTCCTAACGATTTTCAATTCTTTGCACATTTTTGGCATGTGTATCACTGCCAGAGGGCAAAACATCTTTTTTTTTCCAACATCATGTGAAAAAATGCGCGCTTGGATACCTTTCATAAAGATTACTTGCTGTGGCCTAAAGCTGTATTACAGGATGGTACGTGGAAGTTGCAAATGTTTTATGATGTCGATTTTGAGAGCCAGTATTAGATTAGTAAATTACTTACGAGCATAGCCATTAACAATTTTTGGAACAAAACGAGAGAATCGAGTAGCCGATGTGACGTTTATCTGTTTAATTTGTTTAATGTTTACCTGTGTTTGGAATGCCAGCTGCAGGAAGCATATGAAAAACTAACACATTAGGAATTTAACATACTAGCTAAGAAAAAACATTTTAGAAAACCGTTGCAAAAATACTACCGGAAAACTTAAAGTTAGCTGAATTTCAGTTGACTGCCCTCCCGGCACGTTCCATGACCTGACTACGGACACCTGTGAGTACTGCCCTGTTGGTGAGTACCAGGACCAACCGATACAGACGGACTGTAAACAATGTCCTCACAACACCTGGTCAGTGTTTCCTGGAGCAAAGGAGGAGGCTCAATGTGTGGCAGGTAGGAATGGTCACAAATGTCTAAACACTGTTATTATTGAAGAGCATAAATTAATTTGATAGACTGTTGTTTTGTTCTGGATATTTATGTCAACTTTTCTCACTAATTAAGGTATCAGAGTTCAGCCACTCTAACACGAGTTCACGAAAACCTTTCAGTTTGCCTCGGCAAAGACGACCTATGCTCCAGCTGTAACCACGTTAAGGGACAACTGACGTGTAAGGTAAGACTGGCTTGCTATAAAGTCTTTGATAATCTTTTTTTTAGTTGTTATCGATTAGTAAAAAGACATGCGCTTGCTAAGACCCAGCACATGTCCGTTTTATTTCGAAGGTACAGATTGGATCAGTACATTACAATCTGAAATGTTAATCGAAAGATTATTGTTATTAGACAAGTTTGTCGTTTTCACTGCAGTGTGAAGTTGGCTGGGCGGGGTCCCAGGACGGACTTACATGTGGAGTTGACGATGACCAAGACGGTTATCCAGATGTGTCCTTGCCTTGTAACGACACCACGTGCAAAATGGTATGCATAAGCTACTAACATTTTAGCTTTGATGTTTATGTCTCTACATTTTTTTCTATGTAGTTAATATAGCATCCATTACTTTATCAATCATTATTGTTTTCTTGATATAAGAACCAATTTTTATCTAGTGTTACTAGAATCACTTGTCGAGTATTTGTTCATGGTGTGGGCTAATTGTGTCGTTTTAATGTTGATTCTAGGACAACTGTCTAGGTATCCCTAACAGTGGACAGGAGAACACAGATGGAGACGAGATGGGAGACGCATGTGATGACGACATGGACAACGATGTGTTCAATAATGTTGAGGTACCTATATCGCAAAATAGCTATTACGTTTAACTGCAGACTTTACTGCCCATACTGACACTTGCTTTACGCATACCGAAACGATAAAGAATCTCCTGTAAGTATGTCAGAAGCTAAATTGAGCCTAAAGCTGATTGGCACGGATAGCACGGAAAGCAGACGTTATCAAAAACAATGACAGGGGACGTCAGGGACTATGTGCATACAAACTGATGTCTGAAGTTTTGATAAAACGGCAGTTATCCCCACTGGGTTTAAAAAATGCCACATGACAAAAATGATAGGTAGAGCAAACCTTCATACTAATCATTGAATATCTCGTATTAGGCGTATCGAATAAGGCGTCATGCAAGATCATGGTCTTTAGTTTCTAATTTGAACAAACTATTTGGAGGCATAGCTCAGTCAACTTTTTTAATCAAAAACCCATATCTCCATTTACAAATTCCACGAATCTGATACAAAGCTGAACTAGATTATTATTTTTGGTAGTTTATCGGGATTGAATTTATTTGGATTGCATTTTTAATGACTAGAAAGAAGTATAATGCTTGTAAGTTCCGGAATGTGTAGCATCAAGAAGATCTGCCCCCTAAGCTGTTAACACGTACGTCTTGATTGCATTTTGTTGTGATTACCCATTAAAGGCGATGACACAGGAATGAATTTAGTCTTTGTTGTTCACTTAAAGGACAACTGCCCGCTGCTGGTGAACGTAAACCAGACGGACAGTGACAGTGATGGAGTGGGTGACGTGTGTGACAACTGTCCCACGGACATCAACACTGACCAACGGGACACAGACGGGGACGGTGTGGGGGATGTGTGCGACAGCGATGCCGATAGTGACGGTATGTTTGATTGCCGAAACATTTTTTCAAGCATATCAGTAACGTTGTCTACTGATATTATTTGCTTTCAAAGGAAATCTGAATACATTATGGACAACTTGAGCAATCAAATTATTAACTTTTTTTAGTAAGCAATATTACAACTGAACTTTATTGCATAAAATGATGGTGAAAATGGTTTGCTTCAGGGTTCATTTTTTGCTTCATTTCTTGCCTTTAGGTATTATTGACACTCAAGACAATTGTCCGTTCGTGGCTAATGTCCAACAGGACGATTCTGATGGAGACGGGATCGGAGATGTCTGTGACAACTGTCCAACGGTCCAAAACGTGGATCAGGTTAGTCTCATCTTTCGGCCATACGTACTACGGGATATGTAGACAAGAACAAATCAAGGCTTGTACTTGTCCTTTTCACATCTGTACGTAGCAGGTAATGAGTGTTTGAAATAATCATTCCTTTTTGCATTATTTTAACGTGTTCTTCCTTCCTTCCAGTTTGACTTGGATCAAAATTCTATTGGCGATGCCTGCACCGACGATACCGACAGGTACTGATATGTAACCTCATTCGTCTTGTAAGAAAAAAAGAGATCCCTTTGTCTTAATCTTCCAACGTACTAACATTTGCCAAAGCCTGAAAATGCTCTCATATCCAAATAGCGATGCAGACGGGATCCCGAACTCCTTGGACAACTGTCCTGACATCCCTAACAGTCAACAACTGGATACGGACAAGGACGGATCAGGTACATCCTTTAAAAGCCGACTACATCTTCAAAACATTCGTCATGAGCAAAGAGGTGTTAAAATGAACTAATGTACACATCTTTTTAACAAATGTGATCTAAAGAAAAAATAAATTGGTGGATGTATCAAGTAATAATTCTCTAATTATATATAGGCTCATAAAAGAGAATAAATTTAAATTACAAGATGTTTATAACTCGCATTGTGGTATTTGAAAATTGTTCTTTATGATGGTAAAGTGTATCTAGATGCCACCGGGTACAGTGGGTATGCCTTAAATAATATAGTATCATATTGCTTGTCTACATATAATCAGTCTATCGGTTACAGGGGACCTTTGTGACGATGATGACGATGGTGACACCATATTGGATGACGTTGACAACTGTCGGCTCGTTCCCAGCCTGGACAATAGAGACTTTGACGGTGAGAGGACTTTTGCAATTTTAATTTAGAAATAATATCACTATTATAATTCTCATTGCATACCATAAATAAAAATTAATAACTGCAGTTATTGATATTTATTTATGACATACATTGCATGCAATGTGTGTCACCAAGACAGTTTCAAAATACAGGAAAATAAAGACTGATGGTGAGGTGATTTCAACCATTCCAACCATTTTTTTTTACTTTTGGCATTGTATTCTAATACGACCATAAACATATAAAGTCACAACGCCTTTTTTTTTTCAAATTACTAAAAGCAATGTCATCGTGTCTCGTTGCAGGAGACGGAGTAGGCGATGTCTGTACCGGCGATTTTGACATGGACGGCGTGCCTGACGCTGATGACGTGTGTCCTGAGAGTGGGGTCATCGCCCGCACGGACTTCAGGAACTACCAAACTGTGAACCTGGCCGGGAGTAGTGACAACCCTCAAGTTTGGGAGTTTCTTAATGAGGTATCAACGACATGTAGAACGTTTCAGTCAGCTTACAGTAATGGTTTTAAAGGCCTTCGGGTTTGCAGTTAATGGTAAAGCAGCTGACTATATCGCAAGTCTAAAAAAATCATCAGTGATGTTCTTGAATAAAATATAAACTATTTCAACTATATAGAGTACTTCCTGCATTAAATAAGCTTACAATAGATACATAATGTACATGTACTAAATTTAAGCCATAATTAGTAATATAATATAGCATCCACGTGGTACGTATACAATGACCCGGATTTCCACACAGCGCTGTTTTGGTTGTTCAAACTGCACACTTGATATTTGTTACAGGGAACTGAAATAGTTCAGAAAGTAAACAGTGACCCAGGCCTTGTTCTAGGTAAGTATAACGTAATCCAGATATAAGTGGTAACGTATTACGTACTAACTACATCTATGTATTTATAAGTTTCGTTATTAGAGCTAGGCGTTCACGACAGTTAGCAAATGGGAGTAAGATGTTTTAAATATTGCGGCTTAAATATTAGATAAAGAAAGCACTTCTTGCCACATGCAGGTCCTGACTACTTCGGCAACTTGGACTACCGTGGAACCTTCTTTGTGAACACCCAGGTTGATGACGACTTTGTGGGTTTCGTCTTCAGCTATCAGAGCAACTCTCGGTTCTACCTGATGTCCTGGAAACAGGCAGGGGACAGCAGCGGTGGACAGGCGGGGGTACAGCTGAAGGTGGGGGGTTGTTTCTAAGGTACAGAATAGATAGCTGATCTCAAAATTGAACTTTGAATGGAAATCTGGCTTGTAACAGCTGTCAAGCTGATTTTATATATAGAGGTATTTGGGAATTCTAGAATGCTTACTTATGCCAATTCATTGTTGCACACATTGTGACGAAGCAAAAAGGCGAAGGGAATACTCGGATTAAACCAGGATTTTTCTAAGTGCTAAGAACACTGACCTTCCATACAAGCCCTAAATCTTTGTATTTGTAGGCAATTGGTTTAAGATCATTTTTTTGTCACTAGTTGGTGAACTCGACTACCGGACCAGGGCAAGACCTGTCCCTGGCTCTTTGGAAGGGCGTAGAGGTCCCGGGACAGGTAGGGTTAGGTAGTATGTGCCTCCAGCTTATTCTTAAATTAATAATGTCAAGGGGGCGTGCTTTTTTTACATTACTTACACTGAATACTATGAATAATGTGGCTTTTTTTTTCAAATTCTACTTTATAATGAACCTGTCATTTGTACCCGTACCAACAGACATACATCTTATTATATTAGAGAAGGCAGCAATGACATTTGAATTTCAAGTTGATAATAAACTTCATACTGATTAACATTTCAAAATATTTTTGACACAGACCAAGCTGCTGTGGGAGGATCCCAGCAAGGTAGGCTGGAGCTACAACACCGCCTACCGCTGGGAGCTGAAGCACCGGGTGGACATCGGGCTCATCAGGTAACCTGCAGTACACTATCCCAGTTGACTGCAATTTATAAAAAAAAAAATCTACCGCTAGCACCGCTAAGTGCATGTAGTTCATGCATTTGTAAAATTCTTGCGTTATTACTTAAACCTTATCTAGACTGGGTATTTTAGGGATTCGTGGGACTTAAAGAGGGAGGTGGGGGTGGTGTTGTTTATTCGGCTCACCCCTTAGAACTCGTAAATAGTATATGGTATGGGCACCAAAACACATATCAATTATACGAAATTACATTATATGTTAAATCATTATAGAAATCATATTCAACTTGACTTAAAACCCATAAAGGTCTATTGAAGCTTAACACACTGACGAGAAATCTTTCTTAACTATTTTTACTTAGGACAAGTCACTACGTTTGGTGGTTTTATCGCAAGCCGTTCGCTATCGGACATTAAAGTTGGCGCGGTCACTTTTAGCGAGTCAAGGTAGAGTTAATGACTAGTGTATCCCTGTCCGTGCAGGTTCCGGCTGTACTCCGGCAGTCTCCTTGTGGTGGACTCCGGTGACGTTCTGGACGCCTCTCTCCGCGGAGGCCGCCTGGGGGTGTACTGTTACTCTCAGGAGAACGTCATCTGGTCTGACCTCGTCACCAAGTGCGATGGTAAGGAATCATTATTGAAAGCTTGAAGGCATGCGCCATGTGGGACATCTGTACAACAAAACATATGAATTTGTACAACGGACCAACCTTATTTAATTAATTTTTTTTTAAATACACGTGTGTGTAAGGTAGATATTCCATTAATTGTTAAATTGCTTTAAAACCATTTCTTGTATGCATTTTTCTCCGACTATTGCTACACTAGGAATACCCTCTGGTCTTCATGTGGTCCTCATCAGGATGGTACTTTCTCAAACAAGTGTGCAAGATTAACTTTATTACCCCCATGACATGTCATTGATGTTATAGTTTCTATTGTGTATGTCTGTTGGTCAACAAGATAAAATTTGGGTAAATTGGTTTTATACTTGGTGCATTGGTAGGTTGTTGCAAAAATGCTAGGGTCACGAATTTTGGATGGTAGGTAGGACTTGTGCTCACGGCTATTTTAATATCAGGGTGTACCAGGGTGTTGCACTTAGGCCAATTTTTTAAGTTTCATATTTTCCCACTTTTAGTACAGAAGAATTGAACTACAAGTCATACTATGCATGATGATTTTAAAATTTTTGGATAGCGATGAGCGGTTTAAAAGTTGCCGACCTTCAAACTTAAGTGCATTACTTTACAATGCAATGCACTACTTATACGTACACTACAGCTCATTAGGCATATAACAATAATACTCGTTGTATCCTCCAATGTTGTTTCAAATGTGAACTAAAGTTACAGAACTAAAAGGAGGGTACAAATTTCTTTGAAAATTGCATCATTGTTCCCAAAACTATTATTACAGTTAAGCATATATGGTACTGGTAGACAATCTCTACAGACACTTCACATCTCTACGGACACTACAACATGGTAATTTATTATCGTTATTTTATTTATTTAATGATTTATAACCATTATCCATGTGCCTTCTGTCAGAAGGCCACCACGTTTAGTTGTTCTAAAATACTTAATATATATGAAACCATCACATTTATATTCCAACTAATGAGTCTGCGGACATTTCTCGGACAAAATAGCCATCAAAGTGCAAGCAACATAAAGATGCATATTTCGCATTATATAAAGAAAGGTGATATAATATGAAAAATTGCTAGTCCTAGATTTTGGGGGTACAAGAAGATATTTTGCTATAAAGTGTACAGAAATGCATTTGATAACATGTAATACATATTGTTAACGACACTAAAGGAAAGACAATTTTTCAAATTATCATCTAGTTTTCAGCAAAACATATTAGGACCTCAATTGCATAATTTTTCAGGGCGAGCTAGAATATAGAAATTGACCTGTCATTGGGGAATATGATCAACTGAACAGATGTAATATATACCAACGGGGCTTTTCTAATTTGAATAATTGCAGTTAAAATATGTATAATTAGTCGGTTTGGACAGTTAACATGATTTGGCAACGGTATGTCAGAGGTCATGCTTGCATATCATACCTTACCCATGCCCTATGATAATGTTTTCACTAGTGTGTTCCATGTTTCTAGGTAGGGGTCATGTGAACAATTTGCATTGATAATGAGCATTATTGTAAATGTAAGCCATTTACAGGTGGTCATCACCATGCATAAGATTTACGAAAGCACTTAACATACTACGGAGGTATGAGATTGTAGAACTCTAGTTATGTTTAATGGTCAAAATTAAAAAAATCGGTCGGTGGAATGTTAACTCTATACTGTATTTACGTTTGTTGCTGATTTTTTTGCAGACAACAGCCAAGCTGCCTAACTGGAGACAAACACCCTAAGACTACAAGACTGCGGGAACTTCATCAAAACCCTAGCTTCTATCAGCTTTCTTCTTCTCTGCCAACAGCCAACAGCCCATCCTATCACCAGATAGGATAGCAATTGCGTAAAAAACATAGCAACGCGTGCTCTTTCACTAACAAAAGTATACGTTATGCATGATGCAAAATAAAGAACATCTTCAAAAACCTGATTGCTTGGGTATAGTTTGTACATTCACATCTACATCTACACAGCACTACATGTGTACTTTATTATGTGTGTACACTTTTTTTCATAATTAATAGAAATGAGGCAATTTTTAAAAAATCCCTAAAACACGGCTGTTATTCCGAGCTGTCAATGAGGTATGTTTGACTCTCCATGCTTCCGATCCAAAATCAGGGTGTACCAGGGTGTTGAACTTGGGCCAATTTTTCAAGTTTCAGAATTTAACACTTCATTTAGGATCCAAAAAGTAGATCGCGGCGTACTCTACCCAGCCCACCGTTAATTTCTTCCCTATCTGCTTGCTATTGTATAGTTCGGAGGATTATTTTCTTGTCCAGAAGTAATGATAACAGATGTATATATTTATATTTTGTCTACAAAAACTTCTGTTCTTATAAGAAAATAAGAAACCAAGAACATCACAAAAGCAGCCGAACTACACATACCTTAATAAGAAAATAAAACAATAAGAGGCTTTTGTAAATTCTTAATATACATGTAGAAACCACTACGTTTGAAATAAATTCTCTGAATCAAGTCATTCCTGTTTCAAAGGGAAAGCCCCTGTCCGCCAAAAAATACATTCAATGTAGTACACTTTCAACTTTTGCAGCCTAAAAAATTGGCAAAAAAGTGACGTTTTAACCCATTCCCTATATATGTTAAATCCGTACGTTAAAAAATTCAAGATTGTCAATCCAAGATGGCGAATAGCTTGAACATATAGTGGCGAAGTTTTGACGTTGGTGTTGTTGGCATAAGATTAGCATAAAAAGCTTAACGGAAATTGCTAAGTGGTTTCGACACACAAAAGCACGAAGCCATGATATACTATAAAGTGACACACCCAAAAATGTCGGTCTTAATCAAATCAAATGGCAACATTAGTCATGGGGGTTGCAGGTCGTGAGCTGGAGCTAGAACTTGGCCTAGATCCACGCCCAGGGGCAGTGTAGTGACCCTCAGGAATACCAAACTCCTCACGACTGTGCTTTAAAATAGACGAAGCAACCGGCAAGGGGAATCCAAAATTCAACAAATCTGTCACTGTGGCAGCCACCAGGTAGCCCAATGTGATGTTGTTCTCGGCGAAGATGTGGAGAAACTCCATGAACCCGTGCCGTTCAACGAACTTGTAGAGCGCTGGGTCTAAGCAAAAGGGAGATATAGGTAAAAAAAAATAAATAAATAAGTTTTGACAAAATCATTACATTGCCAATTAACATGCATTTACCAACCTGTCGCTCGGCTTGACCAGGTTTTCTTTATTCACCGTTATTGATTCCCCAAAGTTGCCCCAAACCCTGAACTAGGCGAAGCCCCACCCCTTTAAGTTCTCCGAAAGAACACAAGTCAATAAAAAGACGTATAAAAGATAAAAAAAAGACAATAACAGATTTTTTTAACTTACCAACGTTCAGTCGACCTTTGCTTTCCACCTCTTGTGCCCCCTTTGAAGCAACATGGACAGGTAAAGCGTTCTTTAAAAGACGTGCGTATCCGTCTGAGTTGATGATAGCGTCGTCTTTATCTGACAGGTTAGGGGGAAATCTTGCCTGCTGCCAAAAAACAAGCATTAATTGATATTACTTAACTTTGTAACATTAAATCTATTAATAAAGGTTAATTTTGTTTAAAAATATGTACAAAAGTTCCCTGCTAAATATCTTACCAAGGGCGGCACTTGTGCTTGTGTTGTAGGCAAGTCTCCCAAAGTATAGGCCGGCGTATCTTGGACTTCACCTATGAAGTGCACAATTGAAAATGAACAAGCATTTCTGTTATATTTTCCGATAACCATTTCGTGTTTAATATTTTAAATTGAACGTTGTTTGATGTTATAATGTCTTAATGTATTATGACTTGTTTTCAGAGACAAATTGTGTAAAATACATACGTGCTCTTGAAGAAGCATGTTCTGTAGTTTCGTAAACATGGGCATGCTCAGAAGCACTCATTTGGTTGTTGACACAGGACGAAGCTCTGCAAGTAAAGGTTACGGCATGTTAACTGAACCCCACAACTTGCATAATGAGAAGTGGTATTACGATTTTATGTAAAGCTGCATTATGATGTTTAATTCACGATTCTTCTTGATGAATTTTGGTATTTTAATGATTCATAATGTAATGTGTGCAGCATTATATGTAATAATCTGACATACTTAATTAATACAATGTTATTTATTGTATATGACACATGCCAGTCAATTTTGAATAAAACTAATACTGATGCTACATGCACTATTTCACTGTAAGTAGCGTTGTAACTACCCACCCATTCCAACTATATTTAATTTGCCACTCATTAACATGACATTAAACTAAGTCTTGTAAAAATCCTTACCTATTTTTGCTACGTCTCCTACGTTGGTAGATTAGCCAAACAGTTGCAACAGTTACTACAAGAGCAACACAACAGCCAAGCCCGATGCCAATGCTTGCGCCCGTTGACAGGATGTTTCCGTTAGATGTGTCTATAAAGGAACAATGCGACAAATTATCGTATTTTACTGTTGCAGGCCATTCTAACAAGAATTGACATACATCATGAAACAATGATGTTAACTTACTAATTATGGCTTCACCACACCACATATTGTTTTCTCTCATGTTTCTTCTCCTTCTCCTGCCATTTCGTTAAATTGATACAATTTCTTCATTTTTTTCGGCCAAATAACACAAAAAAACAGGAAGGTAGGGCGGCCAAATACCCCCATGCTTTTTTTCATTATCTTGATACAGATTTTTAGAATGGTTTTATTTGGACTTTTTGGCTAAGTGTGTTATAGGTAATGCACTATAGCAATGTGTGCTACCATGACTGGAGTGTGACATGGTAGGCAGCAGGTGCAACCCATCTTTTGGTTGTAAATCGGTAGAAATATGTCATATAACCTAACTTTCTATATACCTTGCTATTTTTAAACCAAATTTTAAAATCTTTAAACCAAACACAAACAAGATGCTTTCGTCGATTCTTCTTGCTGATTGACTGTTGAGACTTAATTGGGTTAACTGTATTTACAGCTGCACAGTATTGAACTGCATTCAAGTGTTTTGGGGTATGTATGTTAAAACTTTCCCTCTTAAGCATTGGGATGCGGGGCATAAACTTTTTATTTTTAATCTTGAAAGTCAGCAGTTAGAATTATGCAAATAATTATCCTAACCAATAATGTAGGAGATAGGTATCCAACTGTTGCATTCTTAGTTATTTGTCACTTCATAGTATATTTTTATCAATATAAAGCAAGCATTGTTTTCCCTTGTATGTCTCCTTCTTTACCTGCCATGTCGTGAAAAGTGGTGAAACCATGCTACATTTGCTCCAAAGCAAATGTCGGCCTTTCTAGTTATATGTTTACCTACCTTTTCGGAAAGGCGTGCAGTAGGTAGCAAAGGAAATGTCATCGATTGCAATGTCGCCTTGGTCCCCATTTCCAACCTCTGCTTCAAGAATCACCTAAATCATTACACACAATGCCAAGATTAGTTTGTATGTACTAAAAGGTCTAAATAGAGGTCATTGACAACGTTGATTACACAAGTGATGTTTTTATTTGCTGTCAAACTGCCCGTGAATTGTGGCCTATCGTTGAAAGCAATACAGTGTAGCTGGCTATATGACTGGATATCTCTTTGGTGATTGAGGTAATACTAATTGATATTGCTAAAGTGGTATTTAGTATTCTGTAGCAAGTATTCTGTCATAGTTCTGTATCCTTCGTAATGCTATATTAAAGTACAAGATTATTGAATGGCCAAAGACTGTAAACTATTAAATTGTGTGACACATTGCTTTTCGTTATGGTACTGCAGCAGGACGTTATGGTACTACAGCAGGACTTTTCACATTTTGTAAACTAAGCAAGCTGACAGTTTAGATCAGGACTAGATTTGTATAATTTATGAGGGCATTCTGGTACACTACTGGGGGATAATATTGTCAACTTATATAATACATACACATGAGGATTTCATTTGCACAATCAATGACAAACAATTGTACTTCGTTAGTTATAAAGGTTAACGTCATATGATGTAGTGGGAGTCTAGTTTTAACATAGAAAACACATGTGCTTTTTTCAATTTAGTTAATAACATGTCATAGTTAACCATTAACATATCTTATTGGCATTAACGTGGCAAAAATCTAACTTTAATCCAAAGGTTTCAGGATTTTTGTGACTTGCTAATTATTAAAACAATATCATATGTCATTTACCGAGTAAACGCCCCATTCCCTGTTAATGCTGACAGATCCATAAGACCAACTTCTCCCTTGATCTCCTTGAAGACTCCACAGCTCCTTGGTTCTGCCGTTTTCTTGGTTCAAAAGAAGGACTCGTAGCTTCCCGATGTGATGACCGCTCATGTGGTAAAAGAAGCGAAACTGCACGAAGTGAGAATAAGCCAAAATGATAATGCTAGCAACACTCGGTTAACTAGAACTATAGAGGAGGAGAACATTACAACACCACACAAAAGCAAAATGGAAGCTAATTGATGTAAGATGAACATGAATTATCATAGAAGGTAGAAGGTAGCGCACGTAATCATTAAAACATTGATTCAATTCAACGACATTGCTCTCCTGGATGTTCTTACGAGAATGTTCCAAACCTAGAGGTCCAGGGTTTATTGTACTTTCGCCAAATCCATGGCAGTATACAGCACTTTACTTAATGCATTTCTCAAATCTAATCCTTATAACGGCCCAAACGCATTAATGCGTTTAAAAGAATAAACAAATAAATAAAGCAAAAAAGTATATTTTGATTAATAAACTTTCTGTAAGCAGCCATGTCACGCACAGCGGATAAAAGCATTGCGAATATACACCTATATCAGAAGTGATGGACGTCTGAGAATACTGGCTTAGAGCGCCCCCTTTCATTTTTCTTCTACACTGCTACGCACCTATAGATGGAAGTTATCTGTGAAAAACATAGAAACACACTAACCTTAAGCAAATTAGAATAAAAGCTTACCTGACAATCAGTAACGTTTGAGTATGCAGGACTAATAAGACGGGCAGTTTGGCCACTCTGCTTTCTGCTGGCTTCGATGTATGAATAATAGCCTAAAGTCAACAGTATTTATTACTTAATCGCATATTGTTATTGTGTCCAAAATATTTCCTTGTATATTATATTATCAGCATGCCTATAAGTTTAATTCATTAGAAAACGAACTCTGTTCAAACGTGTTGGCACTTTGTAAAACAACAAAATACATTTTTAACAAAATATCCACGTTATTATGCTTATCCGTTTACAATGTAACAATCAAACAATGTATAAATTGTAAGTTAATGTTTGCAGCATTTTTGGTTAAGTTGGAAAGGAACATAAAGGAACCGACGAGTTAAGTGGAACTCAACAGGATTGAAAAGAATAACTTGAATACTATTAGGAAAGTCCATCAAAGACCTTTAGAGATGGTTTTAGATTGGATAGTTACAAATTAGTAGCTTTTAAAAGCTTCCGTTAGTTACCGAATGGACTCTTGTGTGTGTGGTCCGTTACTGGTCCGGTGTTTTCGGTGTCTGTTGTTTCTGCACCTCTGACAAAGTCAAAGTCATCGTCCGGATCTTGAGACCAGGAACAGAAGTCCTCCTGGAAGTCACATCTTCCGATTTCTATAAGAATAATAAACACGATAACGCCCTTTACAAAAAGAATAAAACATATGTAAACGAACAAGAACAAATATCCTAACTGATTTGATTGAAATCTATGTCACATAAATTATACGTTTATTTGTTTATGCATTAAGCACTATGCATTATGCATTAGGATGTTTACTTTTTTAAGTTTAAAAGACACATCTTACACCAAGTGGTTTAATTTCGATTTGCATTACAAGATACCAATGCAAACAGGTGTATACCTTTGTCACAGGGGTTACCCTCATCAGAAGAGTCGACACAGTTATCTTCGTAGTTGCATGCCAGGTCATTGGAAATGCACTCCCCACTCTCACACTGGAAAGACTGCTCTATGAGCTTACAATCAGTGATTTCTGTGAAACATGGGAAATGGTCAAAATGTTGAAATAAAGCTTGTTGTAGATTTAATAAGTATATAAATATAGATATCTCACAATCAGTTGCGCAAAAAGTTTCGCCTACAAGTACCTAAGTACCTATTAGACAGCCCGGGGTCAAAGTCACATCGTCAATGGCGATGGATCCTGTGTCTGCAGCCCTCACGATCCCCTCAAAGTAAACCTTGAACCACAGTGCATGGTCATCATTACCAATTACTCTTTAATGCACAAGACGATCATATTTCAGAAAGAGAATGAAAGTACGATGCCACAGTAAATATATTTCAGCACCAAATGAACACAAGAGAAACAGGGGAACCTGTACCTGGAACGGTTCTGTGCTTGAAATTGTAACCTGATCTTTATTCCACTTGTTTCCTTGTGAAGTATTTTGTTGCCAGAGTCTGCGGATGCTGTCTTTTGTTTTGATAGAAAGATGCAGTTCCCCTACATTGGCCGTCATGTAGTAGTGGAACAGAACCTGAAATAGAAATAAATACTGATGTACTAATATGAATGTACATTTTATACACTTTCAATTCTATTAACTATTTTCTACTTTAATTGAATCTTGAATGGTTGAATATGGCCATGAAATTTTCAGCCGACCCAAAGCTTGCAGTCAAAATCTATGACTATGGAATATAAATTCATTTTGAATTTTCAGAAATGCACAGAGAGTTTTTATTGTGGTGAGTATTAGTGTCATTTTGCCTCTAATATGATAAAGGCTAAACGCGCTTTTTGGTAATTCTTTAAATTAGTCAACGGTTGCTCCTAACCATACGTACCTTGCATTCAGATCCGTTTGACGAGAAGTATTGTGGCAGCAACAGCTCGGCGTTTTTAGTCCCTTCGTTTACCAAATGGCCAGCAATGTACATGTAGTACCCGTCTGTGGAACACATACAAACCGTCTCTTCATTTCTCGATGTTATTACCGGATAGCCTTTTTTCATTTTATCCCGTTCAAACAGAAAAGGGAAGCAAATTATCAATAACTTTAAACACATAACCAGTTAATTAAATTCATATCTGAATGTCTTCTTATATTGATCCGCTCTCTAAGAATGGTAATTCAATTGTTTACAGATGAATTTTTGGCGATGTCTAAATCGATTGATTTAGTTCGTCTTATAAATGCTATCTAATACAAGTCTTTTAAAAAGGTTTTCTTAACAAAATGCCACTTATTGATCTTACCCAACCGTGCCTGATGATCAGTGGGAGGTGCTTGATCTGAAACCCCGGACGAACCACGGATTCGCAACCAATCAGTGTCGTCTGACTTGGGCTGTATCCAGTTGCAGAGGCCATTTTGAAAACTACATCTGGCAGGATAGTGGTCTGGGAAATGGCACAATATACAACATTATGAAAACTGCTCGTGTAGGCTTATAGGTAACACATAGACAACATGAATCCGTAGGACACAATCCTCCTGTGGTTAAGGTGTTTAATACAAACACGCCAAATTTCTCAAAAATCCTTTAAAGTTTATGATGTAAAAGACACAGAAATATCATTTTATTTTAAGTATAAATGAAAGTCTCGTCTAAGCGAAGAAGGCTATTAGAGCCATTACTAATAAACCATGTAAATGAGGCCCTGGTTATACCTGATAATGTTCAACTTCAGATCTCGGACCACAGTTTCTGTCAAGGTATCCGATGGACACCATTTGGCCGAAGGGCTACAATTCCACCATCCGGCTTTCGACAGAATTTTGAGTCTTGTCTGTTGCCCTTTTAATTTGAGTGGAAACTGTAGTAAATGTTAATTTGAATCCATATATATCGTTTTTTCTTTTTTTTCACGAGAGCTGCTGGGTCATGGCTTAAGTTACGGTCACAACCCGCCGTACTTGCTTTTGTGTGCTGTCTACGTGCAAAAACGTGGGCAAACGTAGGGCATCCGTGCGTAGTGAGTACCGCCTCCGTACGGAATCCTACGGATTTGGGAGCACGCAGACACGCCGTAAAACTTTAAGTGCATGTAGACTGCGGATTCACCACCCGTGCGTGCGAGTACGAGCGACGAGCGAACCCCGTACGTACAGTACAGAAGAAGCACGTATAAGTACGGCATCTTTTTTGCAATCGCACAGAGATCGTACGTTGTAAGCACGCACAACTCACCACTTGCGCAACGTACGATGCACGCAACCGCTCATGGCCAGACTTGCAGAACACACTCTTACACCTTGCGCAACCGTGCGAGTGACGTGCGTAGACGCCACTCCTACCCCACGTTTTCAGAAAAAACGTAGCAGACGTAGCCTCCCAAAAAACGTACGGACAAAAAGCACGTATGGCAGGTTGTGACCAAGGCTTAATATGCCGAAAGCGTAATAATTCTTGTTTATTCAAATGAAAAAGGAATACCTTTTACATGATCACTTTTCCGAACTCTCTGACGGCACTATTGCATTGAAATTGGATATAGAACGCAGCTATTTGGGTCATTAGGCGACAAAACCTCATCACTCTTGCTGGCGGGCACTGCCAAAAAGCTTCAATCAACTTCAAACTTTACCATGCCTGACAATACTCCAATTCACAGCCGTTTCAGTAAAATTCAAAACTGTTTGCACTCTATAACGATCACCGAGTAATGGGTAGCAAAACATCGGGTCACAACCACGTGATTCCGGAGATTTTCTGGTTACTTAGTTGAACGTCGGTCACATTTAAACTGTGACTGGGAGTCGTTACTAGACGTCCAAATTCCACAAGAGTGGTACCACAGAATTACAAAATTTTCTTATCAAGTTTCAACATTAGGTTACCATTTGTATGATTGATATTGTCGATATTCCTCAGTTACGTGTAATGGCAATTAGTTTGTCACGTCGGTGCAACGGTCAGAGCGTTCCCGGGTTCGATACTCACCGTGGCCCGCCGTTGTACCCTTGGGAAAGGCACTTTACACGACTTCCCCACCTGTATGGTAGAGTGACGCCCACCGAGCCTCTTAGGCTATTCTTTCCAACTGTGTGCCAAAATCACACTACGGATTTGGTGCGCCGATGTGTCACATTTGCCACCGAGGGCTGTTAATTTTTTAAGGCAATTATAGACAGTGCATTAAACCTCAACTGCTTACTTTAGAATTTTTTAATTAGACCCAGATGCTCCGACAGCTAGCCCTAAATATTACGTGTTAAACAACACATAGCCCAAACGTCTGCTTGAAGAAATCCCATGAGCGCACACTCAGTGTGCATCATCTTGCGCGTATAACCATGTACCAGGCAACATGTCAAATTACGTACAAAGTCAGCAAAGGGATTATGAGTTACAGCTACAAACGTACAAACACTACCAATCTCAATACTCCGCGGAGGTCTAGAACCTCCTTCACGGAGCAATAAAATGTGTTACATCATTAACGACCATTGTCGCAAACCAGTCATCAAGAGCCCTTAGGACTTTACAGTGGTAGTATATTAAAGTCAAGGACGGACTTAAGATTTGCAAATTAAATTGCCGTACTTGTAAAGCCAGGTTTTGTACAAATGGTAAACAATACATGACTTTACTACCATTGGTAAATCCAGATTCTCGTGACGCTGACGGAGGAGAATGCATTTGTAGATCAAATATTTGTCTACAATAACATAGCACTGACGACGCCCCGCTAGCAACAATGACTTTTAATTTACGTGGTCCAAAGACTCTGACAGCACATAAAATGATTTAAGTTATTAGTCAAATATTAGTTAAACATAATATGTCAATACTTACTGCAGCTGTTTTCGTCAGACGTGTCCCCACAGTCGTTGTTAAAGTCGCAGTAGGTCTCTAACGGCACGCAGACACCATTGTGGCAGGGAAACTCGATCTCCAAGCATTCGTGCCAGAACCCTACGAACATGTAGAAAAAAATAAGAATGGACGACATATTTGCATCTTACGGACAAATTGAATTATTTGTAAATCACTTATAAGTAAATACATAAAGAACTACTTAGAAATTACAAAAGATAGGATATGTATTGACTATTCTAAACTAATTATATTTACCTAAACAACGCACGGAGACATCAGTAGCATGAGAACAGCGCGGTTGGTGATGGCCCCAGCGACTATGGCTACATTCTGTGATTTTTGAATGTGTTTCAGGGTCACAGCGGACCTCGTCAAGGTGAATGGGAACTCCTTGACTTGCAGGATATTTACTGTTAAACCACTGGGACTCCCCGTAGCCTAGCTGATCACAGATAACGTCGGAGTTGTCCTTTGTCCACCCGCTGTTGCAGATGGAGCCCCATTCATGGTTAAAATAGACTTCTATTCTTCCCTCACCGAATGATTCTCCATCGACGAGCCTGACGTTACCATCAACTGAAAAACAATGCAACATGGTTATTAGCATTATCGAGACATAAATCACGGTAAACATTAGGGATTAATGTAATTTCAGTCTAAGAAAAGACCTTCGTCTGGAAGTTACGAATTTGTTCTTACTTTTTTTAAAAGAAACTCTAATGTTAAATGATTACACCAGCAATGTAATGACCGTATATTGGTCGGAGTGATACCTCCCTTTACAGTGACATACCCTTTCGTTAGCTGAATACAAGAGGAATTCGCCAGGCCTCCGTCCTGATGATAATGTAAATCACAATGCATGTGGCTGATACGAGACAAGGTAATTGCCTGGTCTCTGTTCGGGGGATTTTAAGTGAATTACCAACTCAAGACAGTAGCATTTGAACCATTGCACACCGGGGCTCGAGAAGTGGCTCTCCCCAAACACAGGACCTCCAGGGTAACGTCCTATATAAGGGACGTCCTTAAACAAAAGCTAGGTACTCATTTTCACCTGAGGAAAGGGCACAACGTCAGGGAATGTAGGTGGAATCGAACCCAGGATCCATGGGTTCCGGGCCGAATGCCCTACCATTACGACACATGACGCCACAAAAATGCAGTTTTAACATGTTTCCATTAATATGATATTCCAAATGATTAAAAAAAAAAAGGTTAAAAGCTTTGGCAAGGTGACCCAACATTAGTACCACTAAATCATACGTTGATAGCACCTAAAAACGGAACTTTTCATGTCCTACACAAGTAATTCAATATTGAAGAAGTTAAACTCTCGACTACCAAACAAGCAGAGGAGGGTTACAGCAAACTTTCAGTCAGCAGCATAAGACTTAACATTTACTAAGAAGATAAAAGGAAAGACTCGGTTATGTCGTTAACAATTAACACTAAATTGCATAAAGAAGCTATTCTTACCATCGACGGTGCATCCTGAAGAAAATGAAATGTCATCAATAGCGGTCGCAGATCGACGGCCGTACCCGATAATACCTTCAATTATTACCTGCAGCAAAAAAAAAAACTTGTTACAAATAGATCTCTTACTCTTCTTCTATAATTCCACAATGACAAATAATTAGATAAAAATGCCCAATTAACACAAAGTAACAACAACAACTATTTAAAAGCAGAAGTCACTGAGGAGGTAGTAGTGATCGTATTTTTGGACATTAATTATTAATGCCCCAAATCGGCCAATTGGCCTCGAAAAATTATTACAATTGACAAAAGTGATAAACTTAATCCTACATAGCCATGTATAGTGTTTATAAACTAATTTTTTTCGTCACCTGGAATACACTAAGTAGATCAAATATTTGTCTACAATGACAATGACGTCTCCCCGCTAGCATCAATGACGTTTAATCAACGTGTCACTAACAAACTAATATCCTCGAGAATCTGACAGCACATACACAGTATCAAATGTTAACATGAAAATGTCAAAAAAAGGTTAAATTTTACTTTTAGGTAATTTTTTTCACAGCTTCTGTCGACATTGAATTTACTCTGTCACTCCAGACGTTGAGTTGTTTTCAGTATTCATAAGGTTTACTACTTTACTACTAGTATTTAATTTTTATCATATAATTCTTAATCCGACATTTTTACCATACTTTAATCTATAAGAATCAAACGTAAAAATGTCAAACTAGCCTGAAATGGGGCGTTCTGCTCGAAGGTTACCACTAAAGCTGTCCAGGTTTCAGCCGGCTGGGCTGGAGACGTCCAAGCAACACTCTCGCTGTTATCGTGGTAGCTTTTTGTATAGATGTTTAGATTGCCCAGATTCTCACCAACGTTAATGTAGTAGAGACTCATCTGCAACACAACAAAATGTATACAGCCAATACAATAATATTTTTGGACTGTCACTTACACTTTGAATAGGCAAAATTTAAATAGAATACATTTGTATTCCAGGTTCTACCGTACATTGCAGGTCTCGGTCTTCGATGGGACTATAACAGATCCGATGATTCTTGCTGTGTCAAACGGCTGATGCGATGCAGAAGCTTGCAGAAAAAGGTAAAACCCATTATCTGAAAAATAAATACAGAAACAACACTATCACATCATTTTGTAAGTCTTAATGGCGTAAATTAACAAATTGCTTGTCAGAATCATACGTGCATCCTTAGACAATCATCGATATCGTTGCAAGTACTAGATACATCAAGATACAATACTACTACTACTACCGGTCTTCCATTAGATAGAAAACTAGAAAAGTAACATTTGTAAAGCACATGCATAATAACGTCACATGACCTAGCCTAACAAACTACATCTCTATTTATTTTTACTTATATGTTAATACATTTGAATGTGTGTACCAGCAGACTCAACTCTCTCCTGCCATTGCTACCTAGTTAAATTCAATTTCAACATTGCTGGGTGTCTAATACAGTACCAATTACCATGGTGACAGCCACATGGTCCAGGTCATTGGACCTTATTTATTTTGAAAAATGAAGAAGAAACACAGTAATGACAAGGTAACGAAAGATGCAATATGCACTCTCAAATTTATAAGCATATAAGTTCCACCCACCAGATCCAGAGGTATGATCAACCGAGGGTAGCACGGTGGATTCTGCGTTTGCACCATATCCTTTTGCCCAGTTCAAATCATCATCGGTTTCCTGGATCCACTCACAGGTTCCTTTGTCTTGAAAGTCACAGGGCACCGGTGGTCTTGTTTCTGCGTAGAAGACGTCAAAAGCAGATACTTTATTTTGATATCGTAGACTTAGACTTCTTGACAACGTATTACATGGTGACAAGATACAAAGAGGGGACCAAGGATTGACCCTTGGAGCACTCCTAAAACTACAGGAGGCCAATCCGAGCACATTCCTTCTAATATTACACGTTGCCTCCTTCATGTACATGGTAGATTAATTTAAAACCAGGTCAGTAAACTGGAGTGACTACCCTACATTTTGAGCTTATGTGCCAACAGCTGGTGAGAAACACAATCAAAAGCCTTAGAAAAATCCAAATATATAATGTCTTTTTGGCCACCACGATCTAAAATCGGGCCAATTTCAAGGAGCAGTACATGTGTCAATGTTGATCTGCCCTTGATAAAACCATATTTTTGACGTGCACAAGTAATAGAAAGCGTTACATAAAAATGCTTAAATGTTAAGACTAATAGGACATCTGGATGGAAATAACTTGAATTAAGAAACAGGCAACAAGGAAGTGTAAAGATTGATAATGAGGTCATTCGCCCGCTCACCAATGCAATGCTGGTGAAATGTATCATATACTTCTCCCTCGGGACACAGAGGTAAATCACCTGCAGAAAACATGCATTAAACGATACATAATTTTAATGATCTTATGACAACAGGGTAGTGCTGCTTTGATACAGATATGATATCATGTGTGCACGATCGCGAGAGCTAAATAAATGAAACAAACAATGCAGTGAGCACACGATATGATAGGATACTCGCCCCAACCACCCCTGCCAGTAGTTGCGCTCTTGCTTTAAACATAAATGCTATATATATATTTGCAATTAATTACATGTTTATATGTACTGGTGCATAGATAGAGATATGACTTTATTTCGGTCATCTGTTTTTTTTAAATACTGCAATACTTAAAGATTTATTGGATCATCGCATTTTCCAATTTTTGTCAAGCAAATGGTGACAAGACCACTGTAGTTTGTTAATACCAATTCCATACCCAAAAAATAAGTTAAACATGAGCAATAAATTCTTTGAAATCTTTTACAGGATGCTGGAAATTCGTTTTGATATAACAATGCTGTAGAGTTAGAATACTTATCAAGAAACAAAAAAATGTGTTTACTGTATACGCCAAAAAGTAGTTACTCAAGCAACTGGATATGATTTTGAAAACGTCAGACGTTTTAGCTAGTATCCACTAGCTATGCATCCACTAGCATAGCACAACCTATCAATAGGTTGTGCTTATAAACCTGCATTTCCCCTCTGGTCTCTCAGTCACTGACGGATACTAGCTGAAACGTCTGACGTTTTCTGGATGTCTAACCTGGATGTCTAACCTTCATCGACGTGTTTATTGTATATTTATAGATGACTTATATATAAATGTTAGTAGTCACTAAAGTACTTATCCTGTCTGAACAGAATAAACCTTAAAACTGAAGGAAATTCAAGGAGAGATTTCAGTTTAATGAAAACAAATTGTATCTTACACGTTCGTCATGTTATGCCGCAAACGTCCTGTGGACTTCTCCCAATACATTAAGGGCGGTACATCCTTATGCTTGTTGTGAACCACGTTCTTGATTTAACCCTCAACAGAACACCTTCCCGGACTGATTAATCTGTACACCTGGGGTCCGCGCGGACCCCAGAACAGTTTTTTGCTAATTTTTAGAAATTATCAACATGCTACCAGCTCAATTGTTTTGCAAACTGATGTGGGAACCTCTGTGTCCACATTACATACAAAAAATCATACATTTTGAACTTTTTCTATTTTTTGGTGAAGAAAAGAAGACAAGAAGAAATACCCGATTTTTAAACCCATTTCAGACTGAAGGGGCTTTCGAGGCCCAACTTTGATCTCAGATAGCGGCTAAACGGCTTGCGCTAGAAGTATCAAATTTGGAGACCTTTCCTAAAATGTCTCTGGAAAAAAGTTCATATAAGTTTAATACTAGTAAGTTGATGTTTTTTTTGTGTTGCCATGGCAACGGGTTTCTAGCAGGCAGTTTTTTTGAAAATAGAAGTAATTTTGGTTTAAACATAAAAATTTTCCGAGTTTTATATTAAATTACACTTCTTTTCCAACATTAATAACATCTTACATAATTAAATATAAGTTAAATCATTTAATATATCATAGAATATGCTAATTTCATGATGTAATTGGTCAAAATCCAATATGGCGGACTATATTATTAGCTCTGACGTCATATGACGTCATAATTACACCAAAGTTATTAAAATTTAATTCTATTACTACACCATTCTGTGAAAACTTGGTGGACATACGATGAGTGCATAAAAACATATAAAAACGGAAATAAGGTAATGTATAAGAACGCCAGTGTATCCATTATGATCGAAAGCCGGCTGGGGTCCGCGCGGACCCTAAAAGAAAATCAAATATAATTTTTTTTATAAATGGTAGAAACGGAATTTTCTGCACTGTATTGAGAGACAACTTTGTGGGTGACAATTACCTAAAATTTCAGATAAAAATCTTTAGAAACAAAAAAGATATTACAGAATATATGGTGCTGGGGTCCGCGCGGACCCCAGGTGTACTGTTTAGGGTTAAAACCATCGCACACCGGGGCTTGCCAAAAGCATTTAACGAAAGGTGTGCGAGGAGTGTGGGTCTCCCCAAACACGGGACCTCTAATTAACGTTCTATTCTATATCTGGGATAGTTATGTGTAATCGGGAATGGCTCAACGTTAACATCAGGGCATGTTGGATAATTTAAAGAATCTAAGATCATATAATAAGAAAATCAGTTAATTGATTGGACATTATATGCTTTGATGGATACATATGAGTTTGATAGCATGTTGTCTTTAAATCTTTTAAGCATCTTTACGTTAGCTCTCTTTTGCATTAAAAAATTTCAGCCTGCAATGGTCACTGAAAAATATGTTTGCTTTACGGTAGCTGGCAGTAACACGTAATCTCTCTATAAACATTTTAGACTTGAGTCTAATAAACACTTGAATCTAACCCCATAAAAATTATATGGACATCTCACACAGCGCTATGAGCAAACTAATAACTTTTACGGCCTTACTTTATAGTAAATATCTACGCTTTGATCTTAACCCCAATAAGGAAGGTTGCTATGGACAACTACAATTACGTAAAATTGTTTGGAAATGCGCTGAAAACATTTCGCTATAAGACTTTTAAAACATCATAATTTGCACATGCCCACCCTACCTAAGGAATAAGCTGTACCAAACACAAGGAAACTATCATGCCCACGGTTGGCCATCAAATTTTCCTAGCATTCTAAAAAGGAAACAATAAAACATGTTTCTCTATTAGCAACATTCCGTTATTTTTACATAAGAAATTCTATATCTTTACACCAAACATACTGTTATTTTAAAATGTTTTCTCTGAGAATACCACAATGTAGGTGAGTTTTTAAATATTAGAAAGAATCATTTATATATATTTATCTAATGGATTTAGATATAACGTTAGGCTGATGGCCTGACATGCCAATTTTTAATTTATTTACAAATTTTAAGCGAGAACTTTTATTTTGCAAGTGCGTAATATGTATCCTACGTTATAAGAGTAAGATGTGTTATTACAATTATTGCGTAGTCATTTTGCTATCTCCAATGCACCTGCGTGTTTTTTTTTTTAGCTAGGTGAAAGTGGTAATCTCGGTCACGGGCCATCGACAGGTATTCCTGTGTTTCCCAGTGCGGCTCGTGTTCTCGAATACGTGTTTATTACAAGTATTGTTCAGGATAGAATGAAAACATTCCAATGCTCAATTAACATCGGTGTACTCTTCCACTTTTCTCCATGGCGCATCAAACAAGGAAGGACGATTCATTGAAGTGTCTTTACGAACGGACTGTCGCTGTTCGAGGAGTACCTCTAGGCCGCTTGAACTTTCTTATGGCATAGGGAAAAGAGTGGCCACTGAGTCCAGTCGAGCAAACACCGCTCAGTCACGACCATTTACATAACAAGCCACGCCACCCCCATGGCAGTTTCTGTCCTTTCTGTATAGTGTGTAGTTTTTATCATTTTTTATTTACAATTCGCTATCATCAATACTAGTACTGTTATCTAGCCATGATTCCGTAAGAGCGGCACATGTTTCATGTAAGAATTTTTGCGGGCGCGCATCCAGGCCCGCGGAGTTGTTCGCCCTCACTTCCCGATCGTAACTTCATGCCTGCCCGGTACCACTGCGCCCAGTGCGTACCAGTTCGTACTAGTGGCATCGAATGTGACTTATCACACGATCACCCGTCACCCAAATCACGAAATCGCAAGAACACGTAACCAAAGTTTCGGGGCCTTGTGAGCTCACAACCCGATCGTGTGCGACTTTCCTGTCCGGTACATGTGTGCCTACTCCGGCAGTGTGATGTCTTACACGTAACATCCGACTACCGCATCAAGAAATCGTCGTAATCATTGCATTGTAGTAAACCCGTCCCACAAAAAGGCTAGCGGGCAGATCAGTACTCAACGGGCCAACGTGGCTGAGTGCTGATTCACGCAGGCCGAGTCGGCACGGAGAGGTTTTCTAACTACATGTAGTTGCTGTAGTTGTGTAGATGGCATTATACGCCTGGCCTTGGTCAGCGTGTGGGACCGTTTTTTTTTTCACGTTCTGACTTCGCTTCAGTTCCGATAGGCACATACAGTCCACCGCCTTAAGGATGGGTATATTACCAAAAAAAAAGGGGTTTTAACTACGAGTAGTTGCTGTAGTTGTGTAGTAAGCGTATTACGCCTTACCGTGGCGAGGCTGGCGGATGTATGTATGTGTCTGTCTCTTATTACGCTCGGACTTCGCTTCTGTGCCGATAGGCACCTGGGGTCTAACGCCTTGAGGAAAGGTATTTCATAAGATAGGCGTTCGAACTACGAACTTCGAACTTGATTCGTACCTATGTCGACCGCGTTGAGGAAATGTATATTGTATTTAAGACTTTCTTACTACGCGTAGTTGCTGTGTGTAGTTGGAGTATCGGGTCTTGTTTTGGCGAGACTAGCGGGCGGGACCGTCTTTTTTCACGGCTTGAGATTGTTTCTGTGCCGAAAAGCACCTAGAGTCCACCGCCTTGAGGAAAGTTATACTGTATGAAAGGCTTTCTTACTACGCGTAGTTGCTGTAGTTTGAGTATCGGGTCTTTTCTTGGCCAGGCTGGCGGATGGGACCGTCTTTTTTCACGGTCTGAGATCGCTTCTTTGCCGATAGGCACCTAGACTCCCTCGCCTTAAGGAAAGGTATATTGTATGAAAGGTTTTCTAACTACGCGTAGTTGCTGTAGTTAGAGTATTAGGTCTTGTCTTGTCCAGGCTGGCGGCTGGGACCGTCTTTTTTCACGGCCTGAGATCGCTTCTTTGCCGATAGGAACCTAGCGTCCACCGCCTTGAGGTAAGCTATATTTTTATGAAAGGCTTCCTTACTATGCGTAGTTGCTGTAGTTGCTGTAGTTAGAGTATCAGGTCCTGCTTTTCTACTGCTAGCGGGGTGATGTCGTCTTTTTTCACGGCCTGAGATTGCTTCGTTTTCACGGCCTGAGAAAAAGTTATATTATATAAAAGGCTTTCTAAATACGCGCGGTTGCTGTAGTTGCTGTGTAGTTGGAGTATCAGGTCTTGTCTTGGCGAGACTAGCGGGCGGGACTGTCTTTTGTCACGGTCTGAGATCGCTACTGTGCCGTTAGGCACCTGAGTCCACCGCGTTGAGGAAAGGTATATTATATGAAAGGCTTTCTAACTACGCGTAGTTGCTGTAGTTGCTGTAGTTGGAGTATCGGGTCTTGTCTTGGCGAGGCTAGCGGGCGAGACCGTCTTTTTTTCACTTTTGTCCACACTACAAACTTTGTTAGTTAAAACTTTGTGTTCTACGGACTCATGTGCCGTAAGAGAAAGCACATCGATAGGATGTGTAACATGCCAGTTCTTAACTCGTTAAGTTTTGGTAACAAGCTACGTATATCTAAATTTGCCATTTTAAGGCACATCTTTAATTTTAATTTATCAAAGAAAGGTTGTTAGTCCAGATCATGTAAAGGACGATCAACGCTAGTTTGAAACCGGTCTGTCTACCAGTTCTAGCTTACATATCGAAGTCTAACACTTGTAAGCTTCAAATTGCACAGAATAGGTCATGCAGATTGATTTTGAAATGTTCACTAGACACACCTATCAAGCAAATGCACTCAGATCTGGGTTGGCCAGAGAGAGGTTCGCTACCAGTATTTCAGTAACAGTCACGAACCCCGGAACATCTACAGCTCCATTGTTCCCGTCCATTCTACCCACAAGTATTCAACTAGATTTGCCAATTCTTGCAGTTTCAAACTACCTAAACCAAAAGCAGACAGCAGAAAGCGAACATTTCTCTACCGCGCCATTCACCAATCTATGAAACACTTTGCCACCCAGTATCAAAACACTGACCAGTCCACATCAATTAAAAAAGGCCTTCCACCAGTAGTACATAAGTTAAGTTGTATATATTAAGTTAAGTCATGATTGTTTTGTTTAATCTGAATAGAATTTGTGATGATTATGTATGTTCATTCTCTTTTAATTTTGTTGTCAGTATGTTCATATGTTTATATGTTTTGAACCCTGGAAGACTAGTCATGGATTAAAGCGTATCGAAATAAACAGATAAAAGAATAAAAGGTAAGTGAAATCTTCAAAAAATGAATGAGACACATTTGGCATGGCACATCCAAAACAATCCCACTGTTGGGATTGTAAGCTATATTGGATTGGTTTTCTATCCTTTTCTGCCAGAGTGAAAAAAATTACTTTTTACTGTTTAATTTTTGAGCGTCAGCGAATCTGCGTAGATATTAATGTGTATTAACCATTATCACCCCTGCACCCGTATTTGTCATATTCTGTACACTTGTTTGACAGCTTTTGTTTCAGCCTTGGAAATTTTTCGCCCAAAAGTAGCAAGAGATGAAGGTAAGTGGTTTGTAAGTTAAATTTGGACATTTAGCCCTGATTTAATACAAAAAATAGTTGTGAATAAAATTTGTCTACTACCAACTTTGATGTGTTTGTGTTTTTTTAATTGTCCTCAATGACACTGTTCCCTGGCGTTTATTCAGCGGTTGTTGTAGGAGATAACCAGGCCTTTATGACACCCTTTACACCTCGGGGCGGGTCATTAACCCTAGATATTGCACACTCTCTCAGTTACCATTGTCCATAACAACCTTAATTGTTTATCATATGACACGTTATGACGGCAAGGATGGATAATTTTGACGGACAGGGAAAACCATACCTATATCTGGCTTTTGCCGACACAATATACAATAACATTTTCAAGTATTACACAGTTACTATTTTTCATGGCAACCTTCATTGTGCTAACTAACGCAACTAATCCTATTTTTTCTATTTTGCTAAATCATTTTCAGGTTAACATTCGTGGCGTATATTTTTGCTTTTTCCTTAATTAATGACTTACTAGTACTCAAAAAGACCTTAATGCCATTTTATGGTTATGGGTTACTTGGCTGCTTTACAACACAATTAAACTACGTTGCAATGATGTGTCGTTAAAGTAGTGCTTTAGACAACAGTACAGTGTACAGCGGGGACACCAGGGGTTTCTTCTTCTTCAGTACAGTGTGGTAACGGTAACTGTATTTTACAAGTGTGCTAACCGTATATTTCAGCACACAGCCTATGCATTTGGTAACGGCTGGCCTGTTATGGTGCCTTTATCTTTAGGTGTAATGTGTGCAATGTACTCACCGGCGCAATAAGCCATCGGACATGAAGGCGTCGGTTCCAGCTCATACACATAGAACAGTCCGTGTGCATCCGAGCACCGTTTAACTCTGATGTCCCACGAAAATGTACAGCAGTCTGTCCCGAAGCCGAGATTGGCACAGGCCGTTCTGTTGACAATTGCGTCTGTGGTTGGAAGACTGCCATTCATCCACACTGGTGCTTCTGTACTACAAGAATCCACATCGACACAGCTAGTGGGGATTTCTCCTCCCGTGTAGCTGGTGAACCTGTACCAATCCTTCTCTAGGTATATGTCACAGATGTCCAGATCTGGGTCAACCCTGGAGGCGGCACTGGTTCTTCTGGCTTGGTTTATGGTGCGGTGGTTCATACAGGGGTCTGTATTGCCACTAACTGCAACAAAACAACAACAGTAGTAAAATCAAATGCCTTGTATTCTAACGGACTAAAACAATAAATCGGCGTAATGTTACAACTACCTTATATCCTTAATAGAGTCTAAGATATTCTGCGAATCGAGCATATGGCTATAGTCATTTAGTTTGATGCCGCCTTCGTTAAACAAATAATTTTGTCATCTAAACTTTCTTTTAGTAGCCAGTCTATTAATATTAGTTTTAAGCATAAATTTACCATGAAACAGTCTTTATCATACAATCTCACTTCAGTGTATTTCTATACAGAAGTATAGATATTACAAGACTTACCTATGGCAACGAGAAGTAGTAACATCACCCATACATAGCAACATCCACCCATGCTGCACTTATAGATGTTGTGAAGAAATCACTTTAGGAATATCCCTTTATAAAACAACGCGGCGGCCGGAATAATATTGTTCAATTCAGAATAAGTTCGCCAATGTTAGGTGACGAAAGGCCTTGGCTACTTTATGCTGCGGCTGCATGTTGACACAAGAACCGGGCTGTTTACATTGCTTACAGAAGGAGGTGAATGATTAACGACATTTACGCGAGGAACTGTTCCTTATTGATCCCTCTCCCTCTATAAAACGGATTGTTTTTATGCTCTGTACACCATTTTGACATTGTTAAGGACACAATATATATACGTCCTATTTTACATATCTACAAAACTGCCATTGTATGATAGCACAAAGGACGTAAGTGTTTGGTCACCACAACACAAACGGTAAATAAAATATAAATTTAGAAAAAAACGGGAGACATGAACAAGCACAAAAATCTTTGTTGTGTTCCAGGTTGATTTACGATTTTAATGTGCATGGTTACCTAATAGACGATACTAAATGTTCTAACATTACGGGAGAAGATGTTTAAATCCCATCTAAAATTTAAAAAAAAACTAAATACTACTAAGAAAGTTTTTATCAGGTTTGCACAAAATGTGTCCGGCAAGAAAAGTTATATCAGGTACTACAAAACGTCAGTATGACCATATACAATTAGGCTACATCATTATCAGCCCAAGGTGTTTTAACTCCTACAAAAGATCACCTTCTTTGACTAAACCCTGGCCTTTTCTGAGTCTTGCTGTTCTTGGCCATTAAGCTACTTTCTAACTAAACATTACGTTGTTTGCTTTAACATGGCAGTGTTACGCTTTGTGGAATAGTGTTTGATCAACTTTTCACCCAAGATTATGTGAAGGAATAAAAAATGGTGAAACATAAAGCTTAACCAAGTCTGGACGGTAACCTGATATATGCTGGCAATACACTTAAGACCTAGCTTTAATTGTAAATATGCCAAATGCACTTGTTAATCCCACGAAAGCAACTTTCGCGTTTTTCTTCGTCAGCAAATCCACGCATGATCGAACAAACAAAGGGAGTACTTTTGAACCAATCAGAAGAGGTGAACGCATGGTTACGTCATAAGGAAGTAGCTTAAAACTAAGTGCCTTGCTATTCGTGAAAGGTAGAAGTGACATTTTTTTGCACTGAGAGTTTGGTAAGTCTCTCTATAGACCGCCAAACTTAGGCGGAATGGCTGTGTCTTCCTCAGCTTTTTTCTGTCAAGGGCTCTCCAAAGAAATGATGTTGTACTTCCTTGCCTGCCTTGCTACAATTTTGGTCGGTAAGTACACCGTTGAAAATATGATGGTGACTACGTTCGCCTTTTTTACCTGTTTATGTGTGTTCGATTAAACTATGCAGGCCCCTAATGCCATCGGGAAATGCTATTCACATCATCTGGTTTGCTAAAGAAAAATAATCAGTTGTGAAAGTGTTGCAAGAAATGCCACGTTCTCAAAAGAAATGAGACAAAAAATTCAAAAATCAAATTATGAATTTTTTTTCCTATTCTGCAATTAAAAAAATCTCACTTTGGAATTGGTACATGGAGGTTCTAACTTCCTTTGGTATTAAAACTCATGCATGTTTATAGTTGCAGTGGTAAAGAGGCTTTCAGAATGATTTGATAGGGATGAACATGTACAACATATAAACTACAAATCATTGTATATTATATGCAATCTGTAACAATATGATCTGCAATTCCTGTAATTCGTTTAAATGTAGAAAGGCAATTTTAGCTGTAATAGCTATCGTTGTAAAATCTTATTTTTGGTTGTTACTATGTCTTACTAGGATGTTCCTGACTTCAGAACAGAACAATTTTTGACGCTTTATCGTCTTTCTGAAGTTGATATTTAATAAAAATTACTGCTTCTGCAAGGTATATAATGCTCTGTACCGTTTTAAGGTACAGAAAATTTACTCTGGATTTCTTACTGGCATGCAGTGGTGAGCTTTATACCCCACTTAGACGGTGCTCTGACGGCGCTCCTTCCGCGACCTGAAATTGGCCAGAGCGCGGAGAGAGCGCCGAACTCCATGAAAAACGTGCTCAAGTGGCATCTCTACGGCGACTTCTCTGCGCGACCAAAAACTCACATGTTAGCAACGTTTATGTGCGACCAAAGATTTCGCAGATAACTAAACAAATTAATTTTCGCCTGTTCTTAAAAAAAAGATCACGTCCACCGAGGCTCCAGGCCTGGGTAGTCCATGGTAGTTAGCGACAATACGAAGCCGGGCACCCAGGCTACCAGAGCTCCACGACGTAAGAACTCAGTAGAGTGCCGATTCATAATGTCCGCAAAAAACAGTATGTGCTGGCTTGTCGTATACGTAGTAAATTCAAAATACAAGCTTTATTCACGCTGGCATGGTGCCGTACATCAAGGAATGCCTCCGCTCAAGACTTAAGCTAGACTTCGTACGTCTTGGCGAGGCAGTTTTCCTAGCTCAGTGGTGCACTTCAGTGCGTTGGGCAAAGGTCGTAGGGGGAAGTCTTTTGTTGTGAAATGCCTGTCTTTTATGTCATTATTTTATTTTGATGTGTCAAGTTGGCAGAGCAGGGGTGGGTTGGTTGATGGGAGCACTTAAACAATAACCTGTCGTGGGTAGCTTGGCACATCCTTTTTCTATCCCCCTTCCTGTGTCTATGTCTCAGTTACGTCATAAAAGTTAAAAAAAAATATTTAACAAAAAAACGCCTGTCTGTCTTGTCTAGTTTTCCCTCTTTTTTGATTTTGTTATACCCCAATTAAAAACGGGCTTTTATTCCTGTGGTTTAGTAGCATTTTATTTTTGACCGGAATTTTTTTTCGCCCGCACGCACTAGTTTGGGGGTCTTCAGAGGCTGTCATCCATAAAATTAAGACGGTGTGGCCTTAATGGTCATTGTGCGCTCTCATGGCGCTCTCAAAGTGGTCTCTCCACGGTGCTATGAGATGATATGAGCCGCTTCCATACAGTCGGCACGGTGACGGCACTCATGGCGCTCTCATCGCGCTGTCATCGCGCTCCCATGGTGACCTTGGTGCACTCTGCGCTTTCTGGCCAATTTCAAGTCCCGAAGAGACCGCCGTCAGAGCGCTTTCTAAGTTGAGTAAGGGGTATTAGTAACAACTTTCTATGGCTGAAGAGGTTCAACATTAACGCTTGATTAAAAGTTGATAGGATTTTCTCCAATCAGTGACTTTTGAAAACACGTACCTAATTTTCATGGGAAATTTGGTGTACGTGCTTTGTTATATTTGAAAAGTCAATGATTGAAAAATATTCTATTTACCAAGTTGAACTTTCCGTGGAACCTAGGAAAACTTCATTTTCATTGCCATGGGACCCAGACTAGGGAGCTGGCCTCTTAATAAAATCAGTATGGTGTCAACTACATGCACGACGGTCCGTCAGTACGATGATTGATGGCGTAACCGCGCCATATGTCGTCCCTACGCGCAACGTAATTGGCTGCAGTCCAATATCTAGCGAATAGACCGTTACTCATCGAACACATCGAAACCCAGACATGTTCTAATTTGAACACCTCGGTCAAAATCAGCGCGGGAAGGACCGCACCGGCCGCCGCCGCCAGAATGTCGGAGCGTTATGGCACGGTCATATTTCCAAGCCGGGGCCCGTCCGGTTTGTTTGCGTGAACAAAAAATAAAGTTTTTTTTTTATTAAGAGTATACACACATAGTGCTCATTGTAAATTTTCTAAAACTTTTTTGTGTTTTGCTGTCTTGTATCATAGTTCTCGTTCCATACGACTGCCCGGCCGGGCCCCGGGTTGGGAAATGTGACCGCGGCATTAGGGTCGAGTTTTTGGCAGCAAAAAACTCTCAGTAGCTCCCAAAATCAGTTACGCTATCTTTGTTGAAGTTCACATCCACAGAATAAAACTTTGATGAGGAGGGGACAGGGTAAGTTTTAGTGGGAGCAAAATGTTTTCGCTCAAAATGTGGACGCGGGATGCGCCAAATAACATTACACGGTTGGTGGACAAGCTAAGAGTGCCCGGTTGCTGACAAACAGCCGACTTTCCTCTCAGACAGGTGCCACCAGCTACCCTGCCCTTTACGGGGGCACACCCCAGTTTATTTTGGGTCTTAATTAGATTCTGCATACCCTCAACTTTAGCGACCGTCTCTTTCAGGAAATACCTCTTGAGCCAAAACACTGTGTTTGCAAATGAAGGATATCGCTCTAGCTACGGGAACAATAGAATTTCAATTTCTTTCACATCTCACATTTTTGTAAGTGTTAGGGGGCAAAAGAATTTTTCAGCCAAAAATTGGCTATTTTCACGTGGAATTAGACCCATCACCTAGAATTTAGCCACTAAAATGACTTATATGGTCGGAAAGAGAAAACCCTTATGTATTATTAATAAAAGTATAAGGAAAATCCTAACACTGAGATTATCACAATAGCCCGTCGCTGGGCATAGCGACAGCACCCCCAGAACGCATACAACGCATATCTAGGTCAAACCGAAGCACCGCGCTGAAGGCGGAAGGACACCCGGGAGTAAGCCTCAGGCCCGAAATCAATTTTTCCCCAAAACACGCCACTTCTTACACTTTCCAGCTATGTTAGTAGTTAATACTATTTTGCAGCAGATTATGAGAAATGTAAACTCAATCATGAACCACCTGACCCCTTCGTCACTTTTTTCCGGGCACTACAGTGGAAGAATTGGTGTGTGCACCGTTAAGTGCGCCAGAAAGCCCATTAAAGCCTCGGTCACAACCCGCCGTACGTGATTTTTGTCCGCACATTTTTTGGGAGGCTACGTCTGCAACTTTTTTTTCTGAAAACGTGAGGAAGGAGTGGCATCGACGCACGTCACTCGCACGTCACTCGCACGGTTTCGCAAGGTGTAAGAGTGTGGTCTGCACGCCACTGTCTGGCCGTGAGCGGTTGCGTGCATCGCACGTTGCGCAAGCGGTAAGTGAGTTGTACGTGCTTACAACGTAAGATCACTGTGCAATTGAAACTTCACCGTAAGGAAGCCGTACTCACACGTCCGTCTTTCGCACGGTACGTACGGGGCACGCGCGTCGCTCGTACTCGCACGCACGGGTGGTGAATCCATAGAACGCACGCAGAAAAAGGTTTTACATGCACTTAAAGTTCTACGGCGTGTCTGCGTGCTCCCAAATCCGTAGGATTCCGTACGGAGGCGGTACTCACCACGCACGGATGCCCTGCGCTTGCCCACATTTTTGCGCGTAGACAGCACGTAGACAGCACGCAGAAGCACGTACGGCGGGTTGTGACCGAAGCTTAACGCTCACTTGTACCACAGCCGCACTCTAGTGACAGTTTACTCTGCCCAGTATCTTCGGGTCGAACTGCAGACAGACCACACATCAACAAAACTTTATGGCCGACAGAACGCTGAGCTACCCAACGCCGGCGATCTTCTACAACGACATGTAAACGTTACCGCGATCTAAACAAGACGCTAGGTAACTATTGAGGGGATCAAATGTTCTCACATAATTGTGAATGAAGTTTCAAGGTCACAATCTGGGTATGTTATAATAAAGATTTAGAATGTACCTGGATTTATGGCACTGTGGCGGCGTAAACATCATCCACTTACCTTGCCGGAGAGGGAGTTAGTCAAGGACGGGACTTCGAAACGGCAGGGAGTTTGACATTCTCCGCTAGCTATTAATTAACTCGTTCGTTGCTTCTGTGTGACGAATCCTGGTGCCTGTAGCCCTCATGCGGCAGCAAAATGTATGACATAAACACGCATATTCAGTATAAGGAGGAGCTATGGAGAAGCGTACACGCATACACGCACGCACACACACACACACACACACACACACACACACACACACACAAACAAACAAGAATTCCGAGACTTCATACCTCCATGAAATATGGGCTTAATATGTAAATGTAAATTTCTTCTTTAATTATGCAAATTACCTCTGTATTAACATGATATATGCATCATGATGTATGTTAACTTTTGATTAAGTTACAGATGTCTCAAGTATGACATTCCCATCATTCACCATTAAGAAATCATAGAATTTTTGCATAAATTATGCAAATTAGGTCATCATTTGCATAATTAGTATCTTTTGATGTTCTGCCTGCCATAAGTTACATACATTACATGTATGAAAGTAGTATAATGTAAAACACTGTAATTATAGAATTTCCTTATTAATTATGCAAATAAAGTCCTCATTTGCATAATTTGCATTTAATCATGTACATCTCTCTCTCAGCTACCTACACACCAAAAATTATGAAAATATGTTGTTCCTATCTGGACTTATTGGCTTTTAAACATTTTACCAGAAAGTGCCCTGCAGTTCCAGAACAAGCTGCTAGGGGGACCAAACTCACACCACTTATTCCTGACAGGAAAAGCAATCTGTCACCAAAACATCAAGACCATAGCATGTTCAGGACAAAAGATACAAAAACCGGAAGTTCTGCTGCAGTACCAAGGTCATCCACCAGGAGGCCCATATTTGACCTTGATGTTTGTCTTCCTAAGACTTACCAACATACCAAATATCATCATAATCCATAAAGGCGTTCTAAAGTTATGCTGACCACAAAGTTGCGGAAACACACACAGACATACATACAGACAGACAGACAGACACACCAAAAACAATATCTCCATTTTTCATGGAGGTAACAAACAAATATTATTACACACACACACTTGCAAACACGTAAACACACACACAGACACACACACAACACACGCACATACTCATACACAGATACACATACCTCCCCCTACAGTTTATGATATCCAGTAGCTTTCTAGTGTGCTTACTTACTGAATAAAGTACACCTAATAAGTTTGTTAAAGGTTCAAATTACAACCCTACTACTGAGTGAAATACGGAGACCATAATTTATAATGTCCTTGCCTCTGCAGGTTTTAAATAACATTTCGAATTCTAAAGAAATTGCGTAATTTCTATACAATGGGAGTTTGAATTTCCCATGACGTATAACTCTAACCACTGTTTGATGAATGTTAAAAGTATACATTGCTGATTGTAGCAGCGCAAACTTAAGTCGGACGTAAAAAAGAGGCTTTCCATCCTTCCAACCCGCTCCTAATGTATTAAGCACTCCTGCAGGATAGACCTAGAAAAAAAGAGACGTTCGGTACCAACTCGATAACATGTTGGGTTATGGCACTATGACTCCCCTGACAGTGATGGACTCCCTTGACAGTGATTGACTCCCCTGACAGTGATGGACTCCCCTGACAGTGATGGACTCCCCTGACAGTGATGGACTCCCCTGACAGTGATGGACTCCCCTGACAGTGATGGACTCGCCTGACACTACCCTCTTTCATTTAATAGCCGATGATCTACGGGTGATGTACGGGCGAAGTTTTTGATGCCGGAGAACTTTCCCCAAGCCAAGGTTGTCAAGAAGGTTGTTCTCGGATCAAACCTGTAGTGTACCCGGCAGATCAAATAATGCAATAAACAACTTATTCAAGGTACCTGGCCAGGTATTTTTACGCCCTCACTACAAAGCACCCCAAACCTTATGTTTTAGAACTCATAGAAGCGTCTCCTATTCTAATCATTGGGACTTTGGGTGCACTACGCGTTCCCTGTACAACGGATCCGCACGTCTGACGAAGGATGCTCACTTGCCAAGTGTTTGTCTAAACAAGCCCTCCGTTCCTTGGTCTTTAACCTTTAAATCAGTCCAACACCCCCTCCTGGAAAACACACTCGAAGATACGGCATGGCTGGTTGCCCATCACGCCCTCAAAACTAATGCTCTGTTCTATTCGAAGAGGAAGTTTATCCGCTCGAGAACATGTCCGAGGGGAAAAAACTAATGAGCATGAACGACGGACCACGCGATTTGGTTCTGTAACGAAGTGTTGCTCACATGGATATGGGTAGAGGGCTTCCTCAGAAGATGGATTACGTCAGATTTCCTTTTTAGAAATACATAAAAGCTAGACATGAGAAACATGACAAAAAACTAGACATGAGAAACATGTTTCATTTTTGGTAAAATGAAACATGTTTCTTATGTCTAGTTTTTTTTTTACCCCAATTAAAATCGGGCTGTCTAGTGTTCCTTTTTTTATTTGTTATGCCCCAATTAAAAAAGTCCGAAAGAAAAATTCTACGAAAATTCTCTTTACAGTGTATTGCCGCTATTTAACAGCCAGTCATCGACGGAGAATGTGTAACAAAACATTCCATCACGCCAGTGGTATGCACCGAGATCAGTGTTATTTTACTATTTTGCATATGAAAGTTTATGTGGGCAGTGATATATTACTCCGGATAAGTTCACACAAACTCCACATAGAAAAAGGCAGACACAACCGCATTCCTCTAGAGCAAAGGATTTGCCAATTTTGCGATTTAAATAAGATTGAGGATGAGTATCATTTCGTAGTCAATTGTACGTTATATAGTAATGAGAGAGATTCCCTATATTCTTATATAATAGATAAGTTCCCCAGCTTTGCACATTTAAATGAATCAGAAAAATTCCTATTTCTTATGAAACTTGACAAACCATGTATCACTAATTCTATATGCTCGTACATCTATAACTGTGTCAAGAAGCGAGAAGAAGTCGAACAATGTAAATAGTAGATCACATTAGTATGTATAGTTTAAGTATCATTGCTGTATCCATTTCCTTGTCTATCCATGACCTGTACTTAGCTTGTTAGAGCACAAACGTACAATAAAGGTCTTTCATTCATTATTTATAAATCGGTTGCAAATAGAAATCATTCAGTAACGAGCACCTCTCCTCACACATGTAATAACATTGTTGTATTACTAACTTTTTGTCATCCTAATGTAAAGCAATTACTTAATATGCTGAAAAGTCCATATTTACCAATACTTATTGTTAAATTGTGAATGAATGGTTTGCAAACTGTATAAATGAAATAGCCCTACCGACCTGCCGAACTCTAAGGTTTAAGAACAGTCCTGTACCGTCGATGTTGCGGATCCTGAACGCTAACTGATATTAGAAGCAATTGACACTAATGTATAATTTTAAGGCTATGTATTATTTTAAAGCTATGTATTATTTTAAAACTATGTTGTAAATATTTTGAATGTGTCCTGCACAATATGTATGTACAGAAGGCGCAATTCAGCCTGTCTGGCTGCAATGTCTTTTATTAATAAATCATTTTTGATTGATTGATTGATTGATTGATTGATTGATTGATTGATAGATTGATATAACATATTCACGATCAAGTCATGAATGTTAACTTGCATGTTTTTGTTAAAAATGTTCTCACCATACTGCAGTTGCGGACTGTGCGGACGACCCTTGCTTGACGGCAACCAAAATCTACGAGCCACACCGCAGTACAGAGTATGTCACCGATCCAAACAGCTTTCTTAAAATATGTGATACGCACTTGTCTGAGGGCTGGTACCAGTTCACCCATATGAATGGAATGTTGGCCACCGGTTGTGTGGAGGACTTTCGCTGCGGTACAGACTCGCCTATGTGGATGGTTGGGGAACACCCGGCAGGTTTGTATCCTAATTCTGTATTTGTAAATTAACATCACGGTAGAGATTCCATTTAGGCAGAATACACATTTTAAACATTCTTTTCTAGTGCAAATACACAATATCAACCTCTTACATGTATCTGTGTAGGAAGTCAAGCTAGAAGTTTGGATATGGCAAAAATATAAATACATTGATCTGTTTAGAAATCAGTTATTTATATCGAGTAATGAGCTAATTGCCCACTACTTATTTAGTTACATGTTTTGTTTACTTGTGTACAGTCGGTGATGGTGAGGTCGACCGTCAGGCTTGTTCAAACCTTGGCATACCTAATGACTGCTGCACTGCCAGTTACAACATCAAAGTGAAAGCATGCGACGCCGGTGGAAACACCTTTTATGTGTACTACCTGGTATCAACAAGTTATTGCGATTCTTATTGTGCGGGTGAGTCTGTTATCATTTTTCTTCTAATATGCAAAGTAGCTTTTATAAAGAAAGAAGAGCTTTATTTCTCGACAATGGACCTATTACATTATTACGTCATAGTTTACCGCAATGAATGCCGGTCAATCGACGTTTATATTGTACAGGGGTGCGTAGCGCGGTGTGTGTTTGTGTAGCGTTAGCCTAATATAAGGCCTTTAATACAGTACTACTTTCGTCTAATGTCACAACTAAATCACCCATTACGACATGTAATGCTGTGTCAACAAAACTAGACGCAGCAAAAATCAAACATACCTGACTTTGAAAACTTTGAATTTTTTTCTTTAACTAACCGTTGTAATGTTCTTTAGAACAGGTAAACAAACTGTGACGTAATAATGTGATAGATCCATTGCACATGGTACACTTTTGACGCCGTCGAAACGAGCTGTGTGACACGCTTACATACCTGGGTGCAATGTATGGCAAAGTACAAAAAAAAAAAGCAAACAATAAAATGAACGTGTTCAATAAGACCTAATGTAGAATAAAACCTAACATATCCTACTTACAAAAACAAAAAGGGCTATCACAAGTCTTTTTTATAGTATTACAATCGAGTTGGACTAATCATGAGTTTCGGTATTTTTCTTATAATAGAACAGTTTGTTATATCATTTTTTTTGCTTTGTGGGAATCGTTACATGTAAATATATATTCTAGGCTCTTAAAAGCTGTTGTATTTGATTCGAGAAATGTAAATATCATATAACATAGAACATCATATTTATCGCATTTCATAACAAAGTGAAAATTCATTTTTAATATGCTTTGGACAAAAAAAAGACAAAACCTTTGGTCAGGGGTTATATTGTAATATCTACCTGCTTCAATATTTAACTTATGACTGCTGATTCTTAATTGTTGCTTTAATTTAAAAATTATGTATATTATAAAGGTGTGCTTTTTTTCATAACAGTTTTTCAATTTGTTAAGAAAAGACAGATTGGAATTATTTCTAATGCAACTAAACTACTCTTGTATATGTGTATCTTGTAATCGGGAGCGAAGTTGGTGGGTAATATAATCTATTTCTATTTTGAAGCAGAGAGTCCTCGGGTGAGTGTACCAAACAGTGCCAGTATCTAATTCGAAGTGTGTTAGTTTGAAAGGTTGTTCTGGTCAAATGTTTTCCATGTGATTTCTGTCTGAATTTGTGATTTGTATTTAAAATAAAAATAATTTCGACTTGCTCTAGGAAACGAAGCACCTTGTCCAGATGGCCAAGAATACAACGCATTTCTTCGGGAATGTGGACGTAAGTCTATTTTCATGGAATATTATTTTTGTAGCTCATAATCAGCCAATACAAGGTGCTGAAAAAGTGATTACGTTCTCTTAGAAAATCCTTTGAGGTTCCCCCTTCACTCGATTCAGTATCATGTTACAATTGGGTCGCCCCCCCCCCCCACGCGCTTCCGCTATGGGGTTGTATTCAATAACTGGCAGAGCGGCGATTAGTATATAGTAGGAGAGATGACCTAATTACGGCTGAACAAATCAGTGTGCAGTGTAGCTAGCTAATAGCAAAGGTCTGTGCCGTTGCCCACAAGTACACGCCTGCGTCGCCTGCGCAAACACCTGCGTCATTTGGGCAAAGACGCCGTCTGCGCAAATACCTGTGTCGTCTGCGCAAATACCTGTGTCTTCTGCGCAAATACCTGTGTCTTCTGCGCAAAGACCTGTGTCGCCTACACAAAGACGTCGTCTGCGCAAAGACCTGTGTCGTCTACGCAAAGACGTCGTCTGCACAAAGAAAGACCTGTGTCGTCTACGCAAAGACGTCGTCTGCGCAAAGACCTGTCTCGCCTACACAAAGACGTCGTCTGCGCAAAGACCTGTGTCGTCTACGCAAAGACGTCGTCTGCGCAAAGACCTGTGTCGTCTACGCAAATACGTCGTCTGCGCAAAGACCTGTATCGTCTACGCAAAAAACGTCGTCTGTGTAAAGACCTGTATCGTCTACGCAAAAACGTCGTCTGCGCAAAGACCTGTATCGTCTACGCGAAGACGTCGTCTGCGCAAAGACCTGTGTCGTCTACGCAAAGACGTCATCTGCGCAAAGACCTATGTCGTCTACGCAAAGACGTCGTCTGCGCAAAGACCTGTGTCGTCAACGCAAAGACGTCGTCTGCGCAAAGACCCGAGTCGTCTACGCAAAGACGTCGTCTGCGCAAAGACCTGTGTCGTCTACGCAAAGACGTCGTCTGCGCAAAGACCTGTGTCGTCTACGCAAAGACGTCGTCTGCACAAAGACCTGTGTCGTCTACGCAAAGACGTCGTCTGCGCAAAGACCTGTGTCGTCTACGCAAAGACGTCCTCTGCGCAAAGACCTGTGTCGTCTACGCAAAGACGTCGTCTGCGCAAAGACCTATCGTCTAAAGAACACCTACATTGGTACGTTAGCAATGATGAGGGCCCGCCTGCCATTTTCATTAAGTGTTATGCGCTACTTTATATCAGCGTTAATTGTAGCCAGCTCGTCCTAATTTACCGTTAGGCGCCAAGCAAAATCTAGTCTTAGGAACAATGTATTCATTTATGAACAGAAGTCCAAGTCTCCGGGTCACGCCCGAAAGTGCAATAAAACAGCTCGGGACGCCCGAAAGTGCCATGAAACTACCCGCCAGGGCCCCTTTTGTAAATTGGGACTGAAGCATCACATGACTTACATTGTTTTTTTTTGAACCCATGATTGAAAAATCTAACATGTCTTATGATCATATCTAGGGTATGTGGACACACATAAAATACATTTTAAACACATCCCACACAAAGACTAAAGATGGTAAAATCTACTATAGTTAGACTGGCTTCAATGCCTTCCTTTCTAGCCTCAGTTTTCCCCATGGAACACCAACCCTACTCTTTGACTGGAACTAGACTGGAACCATTACACATCTGCCATTATCAAGTTTCCATATATCCATGCAGATGTATGGTGTTTTGTTTTTCATGCATAGTTGTTGTGCTACATGTTAATCATCTCCCCTGGGACACCAGTTTTAAATTTGTGTTGTACGTGACTGTGGCAAACAAAACTATATCGTTGCCTGGTACATCCTACCAGTAAAACATTTCTGGTACATCTTATTGTGTGAGTTGAATTTTATTTCTAAACTAGAGTTCGGCGATCTTATACCTCCATGACATATTTAGTGCTTTTGTAAATCTTATGCATGGTGATGATCACATAAATGGCTTACATTTACAATCCTGCTCATTAGCAAAATTTTTACACAAATTATTCACATAACGTCTACACACTGGTGAAACCCTAATCATTTGGCAAGGACAACGTATGATATTGTTGGTTATATGCAAACACGACCTCTGACATACCTGTGCCAACTCATGTTTGCCTTCCAAGTCGACTAATTATACATTTTTCACTGCGAATATGCAAATTATTGCGAATATGCAAAAATGCTACCTACCATTCAAAATTCATGACCCTAACAGGTCCAGATCGCGAGATATCAAAACCGGAAGTTGCGCTGCAGTACCAAGAGAAGCCACTAGGGGGCCCAAAATATAATCATTACCAGTTTTTGCCACACCCTACCAACACATTAAGTATGAAACCAATCCATTCAGCCGTTCTTGAGTTATTTTGTTGACTAACAGACGGACAAACGCAACTGAAAATATAACCTCCATGACATGTCATGGGGGCAATAAATACATAGTTGACTAGGTTTGAGTTAATAGCAGCACTTACCACCCACACGTACACCTACTACCCACAAACAGCCCATCCACAGCTGTAAAGACAAATAAATTTGTTAGAGACAAAACCCTTATGCACACCGTTTGGGGCCCAGCCCATCTTTTCTGCGGGAAAGGAAAAATAATAATATATTTAAGTGTAGATAATATCATATATACACAGATTTAAGTCAAACTTAGCAATCAATACAGAGAGTTTAGGATCACAAGCATCTAATGGACAAGCCTCAAAGACAGCTCTCAACTTTAACATCTTTCAAAGACTCTCTGTGAGTGGGACTTGAGTGGCAAATGATTTTATGATTATTATGTATGTTGAGTTGAAATTGTTATGTATATGCTTAATGTGTTTTCCAATGTTTATTGTGTATTTTATACATGTAACCCCCGAGATACCTGAAAACCAGGTCAGTAGACCTGAGCGTACTACTGTAGTTAAATAAAATAAATGAATGAATAAATGAAATGAATGAATGAATGAAGAGCCAGGGTTTTAGTTTCCCTCATTGTAAACTTTCCCGCTGGCATCAGCCAACCACAAGCGAAAATTAAATTAATTCAAAATAGATAAAGTCTATAAGACAGGAGTAGAATGGAAACAATTTAAAGGTAGATGTAACTAGAGTTCGGCGATCTCATACCTCCATGACATATCTAGTGCTTTTTGTTAATCTTATGCATGGTGATGATCACCTGTAAATGGCTTACATTTACAGTCCTGCTCATTAGCAAAATCTTTATGCAAATTATTCACATAGCCTCTATCTTGTGACATACAACGCTCCTGGTATACATGGGGTTCCAAAAATGAAGAAAACCAGTACGGTGATGAAATCTTTATCATTTGGCGTGGACAACATATAATACTGTTGGTTATATACAAGCAGGATCTCTGACATACCTTTGCCAAACCATGTAAGCCGTCCAAACTGACTAATTATGTACATTTGTCACTTCAAATATGCAAATTAGGGCTAATTTGCATATATTGTATCAGTTGGCAAAAGAGGTCACACCACGCATGTCTTGGTTAATAATGGCATTTGTTAACACTTGAATTCAGTCACAACAATCCTACAAAATTAAACATTGCCAAAACTACAGTTCCCCAACCTTATACCTTCGCCAAATGATGTTAGTCTTTATGACTGACAATTTGTAGATTATTCCCCTGATTGTGCTAATAGGATCCTCATTTTTATGAATAATATCAATTTATCATATTTTCAACCAAAAGACAGTCATATATTAACCGTTCTAGCATTTTCTCATAAGTTATGCAAATGAGGTCCTGATTTGAATACATTATGTTTAATGATTTTCATCTTCACTGAACTTTTACATACCGGAAGTATTCAATTATTCAATTATTCTTATTGATTATGCAAATTAAGTCTTTATTTACATAATCGATATCTGCCTGTGTTTCTCTCGTTCTCAATTACCAATGTCACAAGCTTCAATAGTCCTATCATGGAATGCAGCTGATTTATAGAATTTCCTCATAAATTATGCAAATTACATCCACATTTGCATAATTCACATATTATTATATCAAGCATCACGGAAGCTACCTACATACCAAAAATCACGATCCGCCAACCGCTTCTTGAGTTATCCTCTTTTGAATATTTCAAAACAGATAGCCCTGCAGTTCCAGAGCAAGCCGCTAAGGGGCCCAAACTCACGTCACTTCTTCCCCAGCATAAGAGCTACCTACCATCAAATTTCGTCACCCTAGCATGTCTAGATCATGAGATATCAAAACCGGAAGTTCAGCTGCAGTATCATAACAAGCCGCTAAGGGGTCCAAAATCTAATCATTTCCAGGTCAAGACCTACCCACCTACCAAGTATCAAGACAATCCATTTAAGCCTTCTCAAGTTAGCGTGTCCCGTGACGGACACACACATACACGAACGCTTCTGAAAACATAACCTTCTTGGCGAAGGTATCAAGAATACGGAAGTAAGCAATACGAGCTGAGGAACCTAATCACTTTGGTAAACACACAATGACCAGCGAACTAGAAAGTAAGTACAACGGACGGACTAAACCACACAAAGAACAAGAACAGCATACAGCAAAAATTTAAATCTATACAATATCTTTCCGAAAAAAACTTTATCAAGTTGGTACAATATAGGATATTAGAAAATCCCTAAACCCTATTAACAATATAGCAATACGTAATAGGAATATAAACCCTAAGAGTGTTTAATTACTTCAGGATAGCCTGGCAACCAGACCATATATACCCCCAGTGTCTTTACGGTACTGGTAGCACTGCCCGCCCACCCAGATCCATTAATGCATGCCGGGTATTTCACGGGGTGGGTTTATGATTATATGTAGTTTGCCTATGGGAAAACAATTCGAAAGACCAGCTGGAAAGATCTAGCATATCAGGATAGTATGGATGGGGCCCTCAAAACATCATTAAGCCACTAATTTCCCCCAAAATGTTTTTTACAAAAACATGAAAAATGTTGAAGAGTATTTGCCCACTCTTCCTTCATGCCTAATTTTTAGTAATATGGTCAAAAAATAAAGATGTTGTATCCATTATCAAAATGGCTGAAAGTGTGGAAGAAGAACAAGTGACATTGAGCAATATTATGTATTTCATTTACACATATTTGTATGGAGTGAAATATGAATATATTAAATGTTTTTGGTACCAACATGATTATGACAAGTTGTGTTATATAGATATATATGCATATAATTGAAATAATATAATGTTTATTCATAAGTGCATTCAAAGCGCAGATAAACAAAATTGTTAGATTGGGGACATTTAAGATTGAGGGTAATTTAAGACTATACTAATATCTCTTTATCCTCAGCTCTCATTCCAGTGCTAACTGACAACCCTGTCCTACACGCACCTGAAATCAGAAATAACAAGGTTGAGTTTGACTGTGAGGTCAAGTACCGAGATGATCCCTCGGCGCGGTTTGTAGTGATGTTCTTGTTTGACAACGAGTATTTTCCGGAGGTACCGAACAAGACCCTTACAGCTGGAGAGAGGCGTGCAACTCTGGACGCAAAATACATGGGTGAAAACAGGTTAAGCCAACCCGGCTGGGACTCAAAGATGGGGAAAGATGTAAGATCGCCTCATGTTCATGCTTTTGATATAGGTTTAAACTATAGTTCCAAGCCTTCATACCGTCGCCGAAGTATCTGTATCTTTATAGCCGGTATAACCTCCTTTCGGCGTAACATACCAGCTACGTACTGACGCATTATACAATTTTTGGAATTAATTATTCAAACAAGATCATTTTGGGCATAAATCATACTGTAGTTGATATCGTTATCCGCCCAATTGCAGAAATGTCTTAACAATAAAGGGTATTCTAGGGGTTAGAACAAAAGCTAATTAAACTTGCGAATTTAAAAGTACACATATGACCTTATTTCGGTCCTTGATTTTAATTTTATATCTAGAAATTTTATTTGAATTTTATTTGAATTTTATTTGAATTTTATTTGAATTTTATTTGAATTTTATTTGAATTTTATCAGATGTTTATCTATCTCGACAGATTTTAAGTTGTTTCCACTTAGCGTTCGGCTTCCCATGTTTCCTCATTGTAATATACATCATTTCAGATGTTTAGCCTTTTAAAATGTTCTTTCCTTCCCAGGTGTCCTGTGTTGTCAGATCTTTCTGGGAGGATACCCCTTCTACAGTTAGTTCCTGGCGGCAAAGCAACTCCTACCACACAGGAATTCAGGCAAGAATACTTTGTCTCTAGTAAACATTAAACTGTGATCCACCAAGTTTAATGACATATATACACGATACATTTTAAAAAAACTTAACTTATTAATTCTTAAGAAGCATACACATATACTATGGTTTTGGAAAAATACTTAATTCTACAGGTCTATGATTTTAGTGCCTTTTAAATGATAGCAATTCTCACTTCATGTTATATTTTACAGGCAGAAACTCATCGTATCGTTCTGGAAGAAGCTGGAGAAGAGTACCAAATCAAAGTGACTAATCGTGTGCCATTTGTATGCAATCGTGACCCCTGTTTACTGAACATACCAATGGCAGGTGACCCTGACTTTAGTATGCAGCATGGCTGTCATGTGAGACTGTCTTCTGACCGCTGGTCTGAGGGTGAAATTACGATAAAAGCTGTAAGGGACGGACAGAGTGATGGGAACAAGCTGCTGTATATTAACTTTGGAAAAATCGCCATTAACCCTGTGGGCCCTAATACACCTCATGTATTCCATGGATACACGCCGAATTTTAACATTGAGGTACCACGGCTTTTTAGCACTCATTAAAATATGCATTTTTAGCACCACTGATTTACTTGTATTTTGATGACTTTGAATCCACTTGTAACATCATCGTGTGATGGCATACTTTGAAATGGCTTTGCCTGTTGTAGTAGTTTGTGCTTTGACGCTGATGAAATACTGCTCCCTTTCGTTTACTATGAACAGATACTTATATAACTTAGATAATTACAAATAAAAATACCTATGGCGAATTTAAGTCAGTTTTGTTTAGATTATGATATAAGATTCTTATGTTTATTTTCCCGTTAGGTTCGAACCATTGATGCAGTCGGGGCTACGTGCACATCCTCGGGAGATCCTCACATCGTCATGTTTGATTCACTAGAGTAGGTGTCGTCCCAAATTTATCTCTTTTACTACTATTAAAGCCTTGACTACCAGTCTGTGCATTAAAAAATTAACTTTCTGGCATTGATACATTTATGTCCCAGTAGTGCCGCATTGGTCGCGAAACGTCAAAATGTCACGTTTATATTCCGAACCGTACCCGGCATTAGTTTAAAGTAGTCAAGCCATAGTTCATTGGAACATGTATAAAATATGGCAGATTATAAGATTATTAGCTGGTATGGGTTTATCAAGATTCTACATGAAAGGTTTATGTGTTTTGCTGGGGGTGGGGGTTGATGGGCGAATACCTTACATAGGAAAAAGGATATTGTAACACTGTTGGATGCAAAGGTAGATACGTATATTGTTAATGTAAGGCACATTTACGTTAATCAATGTTTCAGTGGTGCTTGGGACAAGCAGGCACACGTCATTCTTCCTGGAGAATTTGTCTTCTATCGGAGCAAGGTTCGCCCCTTTGAGGTATGTAGATTAAGGTAGCCAACGATTTTGTGAAGGTAAAATATTGCCCTGAAATTGTATTTAAGTACACGTTTATCTGCAAGAATTATACTTTTTATGACACATGAGACGGTAATTGTGTGTCAATTAGGGAATAACACCCTCATACAAAAGGGGTTTCGGCATGCTTTTTTGGGGGGCGACGCAAGAAAGGTCAAATGGACGTTTATACGATCCTTGTGTTTATAGAGCGTGTGTTTAAAAAGCTCTTGTCTCATCATCTAGGTAAAAGAGCAAAACACTAACCAAATACACAAAAAAAGAAACATTAAGATCAACGTCTTTAATATATAAACAAATCTACATTGTATCTATATCCATTTACCTCACTCGGATATACACGAATAGTGGCGTCAAAATACTCACGAATAGTGACGGATTTGGCACAATGAAATTGAAACATAGCACATTTGTCTGAAGTAAGCACCTTACATATGGATTGAAAAAAAATAGCATAGCAGTACATATTTGCATTTAATATTTCTAGGTGCAGTCACGTCACATACGGTGCCGTGGTGATATCTCCTGTAACTGTGGTGTAGCTGTCCGAGAGGGGAACGATGCTGTGATCATAGATAAGTGCCACAACATCAACGGTGCTGCAAGTGTCCGGTACCTGACTGCAAACGGCGACGGTAAACTTTCTCCTGGCTTCATCGTTGAGAAAGACGGCAATGGAAAACAGTTTAAGGTATGTATTTATAATTTTTATCTTGCTTACCTGTGTGTCTGCATAAGTGCTGTTGCCAGGATTTGGCCTCTCGCTTTCCATCGTCTTCCCTTGGGCTGAGCTCTGTGTCTGTCTTCATCTGGTCTTTCCACCTCTTGGGTGATCTTCCCCAGGGTATCTTTTTTTTAATGTGTTTTTCGATCTTCTAATCACAGTCAAAACAATTTGATCCTTCCAGCACGTATCTTGTGAATAATGGTTTGCTCTGCCTCAAGTTTCAACCGAAGTTCTACATTTGGGATGCGGTACCGAAGGGTGATGTAGTGTACAGGATGACAAATGTTTATCCGATTTTTTTTTAGTCTATGCTTTTCAGGCATGTGCGGCAATTGATAATATTAATGCCTGGAACAGCCGTATCGTCAGTTGTTTACTAATGTCCCTACGGTCGCAGACTGTTTTTCTGAGTGGACCAAAAATGCAGAGGCAGCAAGCGATATCCTCCTCTTAATGTCACTAGTCGTACCAGGAACGGCACGTTCCAAAAAGACAAATTCAGGGACCTTCTCAACTGCTGTGTCTTCTATCATGATGTTATCTATTTCCTCACTAGTGATAACTTTACATTTTGCCGCACTGACCTTTAAACACTATTTTTTTTACATGGAAACGTAAGCTCTGTTGATATCTGGAGCTTTCTAAACATAGCTGCGATTAGAGTAGTGTCATCAGCATATCTCTCTTAAATGGAGAGGTTCTCATGTACCTAAAAAGTGGGATCAAGAATTTTCAGCCTTTTTTTTTACAAACGCGAGAAATATGTTGAAAAGTACAGGTAACAATAAGCAACCCTGCCTGACTCCCACTCCCACCTGAAACCAACTGGATATTCGCCTGTTAATAATAAAAGCACACTGTGTGTTATTTTTTTTTTACATTTCCTATACGATGTTAACTGTTTTCCACTATACCCCAATGGCTTGCTAGCCTGGGTACCATCCTATTTGTATGCCGGGGATCCCACACTCTATTTCTTAGGGGGGAAGATGGGAGCCCTGGCATACAAATATGATGGTACCCAGGCTAATGGCTCGCGTCATTTTCCACAGATCTTTTCTACAGAAAGGCTGCTTTGAAGTCAATGAAATGGGAGTGAAGGTTTACTTTTCTTTCTCTGGCCTTTTCCATGATTTGTCTAACTAGAAATATAGCATCAAATGTACCCCTCCCACTTCTAAAGCCCTGAAGTTCTTATGTTATCATGTTTATCGTGGAGACCGGCGGGCTTCCCGACGGCTGCCGGCCTAATTGGCCCCGCGCGGTCGCCGAATTGATTTTAACTCAAACTTAAATCACTTCGGGCCCCGTTCGGCAAGGTACGCCGAAGCGACGCCGTAACCTCACCGCCCGGAACCCGTCGGGCGGCCGAATAGGCACCTGCCTAAAGCCTAGGTCACAATTGAAGAAAGGGGCCCGCTCGGTGCGTATTCGGCCTGTGTAATAGGGCGCCCTAGCCTGTAGTATATTGATAATAATAAGTATCATAGGTTATACAAGTTTCTTGTACAGTAGGTTGAAAAACCACTTTCGTGTTCTTGTACTGAATCATTTTCCGCTGTTCTGAGAAATGTAAGAGATATTTGAGTGACATCTAGTTAATGACCCGGGAAGAACTAATGGGGACCTGACAGCAGGGAACCTAAGGTCCCAGTGGCTGGACGTTGCCTTATTTGGTAATGGTCAGGGGTTTTCCACTAATGTCTAAGGAAGTGATTCAACATGACTGATACAGGAAGGGAAGTATGATGCACTATTTCCGAGAAACCTGTAAGTAGGTGCCTAAGAGTATAAAAAGCCATGTAACCATGTAGTCAGTCAGTTCCAGTATCAGAGAGAATCGGAGAGGGAGAGAATACAGTCACGTCACTATGTAGCTCTGGCTCCTGTGTCATTTGTTCCGGGTACGTACATCTACAACATCGGCGGCCATCTTACGAACTTGTAAGGGGCACCCATCGAGACCGAGGTCACTAAGCTACCATGTTTTCGTCCTTGACCTTGACATACCCTTTTTTTGGCACTACCGAACGGGACCTGGATGGAGACCGGCGGGCTTCCCGACGGCTGCCGGCCTAATTGGCCCCGCGCGGTCGACCAGTCGCCAAATTGATTTTAACTCAAACTTAAAATCACTTCGGGCCCCGTTCGGCAAGGTACGCCGAAGCGACGCCGTAACCTCACTGCCCGGGACCCATTTGGCAGTGCGAACAGGCACTTGCCTAAGATTATGACGTCACATGTGCTGATAAGTGCATAAGGTGGTAAGAAAAATGGGGTTATATGGGACATATGTAAACTCCTTGTTCAGACTACGTCGCACAGTTCACCACGCGTGTGTTACACCGTGTACTTGTGTGTGTTACACAGTGCACTTGTGTTTCAGAATGCCGATGGGCAAGCCGGAAAACAGCCGAGACGATAGCCCGGCATACATGTACTTCAGGAATGAACAGTGATATTGTGTTGCATGTGGGCTACCCTGAAGGCCAACTCCAAGGATCGGTAGCTGTTCCCGGTCGCCAGGAAGCGTAGGGTAATGGCGAGTTTTAGGCTTGCTAACAAGGGCTGTTTAGCACTGCATAGAATTAAACAGAAGTGTTACATACAGACTAGACTGTAATATATAAATTTTCTGTTACTATAAATCATTGTGGATACATTGAAATGTGTCAAGAAGTAGAGAGCATTCACAAAAAAACACTTGCTCTTTTTTCGATGGATGGGCCTACACGTTGTAGGAGGTCGTGTCAATTCGCAGGAAGGACTTAAAGTCACAATGATGTTCGCGACAAAGCTCCGTCATAGTGTCCGTACACGACAGGAGCCCATCGGGATCCCCCTGGACCCCGCCAGGGACCTGACAGCTGCCCGGCCGAACTGTTAGAGCCGGTCGGCACCCTACGCTGCACGGGTCAAGACGGGAGACTGGCCGGTAACCGGACGGGTCCCTGACAGAAACCGGCCGACAAGGGGACCATATGTTTATGAATATTAATTAGAAGACGCCTCAACTCCGGCCGGAGCACAACCAGGCCCCGACAGGTAGCCTAAAGGTAAAGGAACATTTAATTGTGACCCTGACAGTCGGCGCACGCTCGCCGTCATGACGCCGACCGGCGTCTACACCGAGGACAAGCCGAACGGGCGCCGTTTCAAATGTGACCTAAGCATAAGGTCACCGCACACACACCCCTCCCCATCAATGATACCCCTTGCGGCGTTGTTGGAGAGTACACAAGACGAAGACACACACAAGAACGTCTCTAAAACCATAACCTTTTTTTATTGGCGAAGGTAATTAAAAGAGCTACGCGAGATTATTCTCTAGTAAACTAAAGTAGCACCTGTCTGGTTAATTAAAACACTGTTCACAAAGATCGTGGTATTCCAAGATTCAAAATGACTGTACATGTGTGTTATTACTTGAAACTATAGATCAATCTTCCTTCTGGAGCCTTCGTTGAAGCAACAGGATATAGCTGGATGACCATACGCGCCCATGCCCCGGGGGTGGACAAGAACCACACGGAGGGAATCTGTGGATTTTTCGACGAGAATCCTGACAATGACCTGAGGATGCCTGACGGAACTACAGCTAGTCACCACATCTGGCCGGACTGGCACAGAGATTTCTCTTACGCCTGGCGGTGAGTTTTAAAAATGTGCGGGGTTTTATAAATTAAAACATTATTGATACAAAACTGGATCATAGAGTGACAGGGATTCAGATATGATTGTTAAAACGTGCATCATTATGTTTTATACCCCCTTTACACGAAAGGAAGAATGAAATGAATGAAAACTATTGGTATATTGAAATATGAAGTGCATTCTAGGAATTCTCACTTCATTGAAAATATCTGTGCATATTGTTGAGACCACCCCGAATGTTTATAGGTGAATTCCAAGTGGGCGAAATATCGGAGGGCATTCTAAGTGCATTCTTACATAAGTACATGTTAACATTCTGGAAATCCCTACATTATTCCAACAGCGTCCCTAACATTCTGATGACATTCAAGTAGAACCCAAATGGTCCTGAGTATTTGAAATACACCACAAAAGCTTTTCTCGCCAACCGCAGTCTCAGGTTCACACCCGATTAAATTTTCCTGGCAGGAATCATGATCGTTAGATATTCACTTCCATCAAAGCTATGTTTAGCATAAACGTTCCAAATGGGGCTGCACACAGAGGTTCACTTCTAAAACCTTTTTTTAGTTCATTGAATGACGTTAGTATTGTAATAATGATAAAGTTTTGTATTTTGGTGTCTTGGGATACTGTGTTGTACTTGCGGCGTCAGTGTACCCCAGTTTACAGCAAAATAAGATTTATCGCAATATCCATAGAACATGTTTAGTATAATTAGGTACAACTGCTCACTGTACCCTTCATGTGTATAGTTTAGCGTAAAGTAGAATGTACATGTAGAGTCAAAATATTTATAATACTCTGTCAGATACAATGTCCGTTGACCATATATATAGCATTATATTAGACACATACCAACTAGTAATCTTATTATTTGCCATACATTGTACCCGTGACAATCGTTGTGCAATAAACTTTGGCTTTGTTCCTTTTTTGTTTATCTAATCTAGTATCATCTAATATACATGTACTTAGGATAACACCAGGAACAAGCCTTTTTGACGTCGACTGCCTGGAAAAAGTGGAAAATTATACTGCAAGCGTAGACTTTTGTACCTGTTCGGGTGGAAATGCGGTCTGTGACTTTACAAAAGCAGGTGGATTTAGCAGCAACCTGACGCCATATACACCTCCCCAATCAGCAAGAAACCGCAACTGCCACAGGAGGAGGAGGAAAGTAGAAAACATCGAGGACGATCCACTGCTCTATAATGATGACGTGGACCTTACTGACTACGTGTTTGACTATGGAGAAGGCGCTGATCCTGTTGTCAACAGCGTTTGGCCAACTCCTAATAAAGGCATCACAGAGCAGGACGCGAGATCTGCGTGTCAGGGAGCCATTATGAACTTGACCATCGCCCAAACGTGCAGGGACATTTACAATGTCGACATCTTGTCAGGCGTGGACTTCTGCATGGCTGACATAAAGGTGAGCTCAGAATCGTACGGTTAAACTTTTGCTATTTTTTGTAACGCAAAAAAAATTCTCATTTTGCTTCCTTAGCTAATTACATATAAAGTACAATGAAATATTTGCAATCATTTTATGCCATATCTGAAGATGGGTAAACATAGTGGTTATTTCACGTAATTGTTGTCCCAAGCAGGAATTGAATTAAAAGATTGCTAAAATATCCCTTTCATGATGCTAATCTTCAACTCTTAAGAAATTATTCCAGCTACAAACAGTTGCAAAAGCTCGTAACTTGTAAATGTTTTTTTAATGGTGAAATGTCATTAATTGATGAAGCCGGGGTTTTCATTTTCTCCATGTCGATTTTCATTGCAATAAGAATACGTGCACATAGCTCAGCAGGGTCGTATTCTACATTTTGGCACGGTTTATTTGAGTATTCGTGCAAACTTCAAAATGGTAGCGACATAACACATATTGCTGATTGTAACTTAAATTACTAATGTATTCTATATTGCAGACTTATATCATCCTATATTAAAAAGGAATTGCATAAAGCTATACTGATATATATAGCAGGACATATCTTTGTGTATATATATATATATATATATATATATATATATATATATACTACCTTACTACTACTA